GAAGGGTCGTACCACAAACGATTTGAGATGCAGTGTATCCAATGTCAGATTTCACTGCATTGCGTATGCCTAGTAAGACGAGCGGAAGAGCGTCAGTCCACTGAGAAATGTTTGTGGCTGATAGTGACGCTTTTAGTTGTCGGTGAAAACGTTCTACTAAACCGTTTGCTTGTGGCTGGTAGGCCGTCGTTCGAAAGCGAGTGATTCCTAGTTTCATTGTCAGACAACGGATCAGTTCAGATTCAAACTGACGTCCACGGTATGTAGTCATGGTTGTTGAGCAGCCGAAGTTTGCTACCCACCTCTCGACGAAGGCGCGGGCCACTGTTTCAGCAGTAATATCTTTGATGGGTACTGCTTCCGGCCATCGAGTAAAACGGTCTACGCATGTTAAAAGATAAGAATATCCATTTGAATCTGGTAAAGGTCCTACCAAATCCAAATGAACATAGTCGAAGCGATCATCGGGAGTTTTAAACGAGCCTAAGGGACATTTGTTATGCCTAATAACCTTAGATTTCTGGCAGCTTACACAGGAGCGTGCCCACTCCCTCACGTCTTTATTCATACCAGACCAGCAAAACCGTTCTGCTATAAGCTTGATGGTTGCACGAACACCCGGATGAGAAAGTCTGTGCAACGTATTGAAGACGTTGCGTCGATATTGTTTCGGCACGATTGGGCGATGCCTACTTGTAGATGTGTCACAAAGTAAGGTTTCCTTACCTGTTCCCATCTGTTTAATGCGCAGTTTAAGTGTTGTTGAGGCCAAATCGTTCTGAAGATCACTGTCTTCTTTTTGAAGTTGGGCGAGTTTTAAAAGGTCGATTCCTTGGGAACTGTTCAAGGAATTTATACGAGACAAGGCGTCTGCAACTACATTGTGTGCTCGAGAAATGTGTCGAATATCTGAAGTAAACTGAGAAATGTAGTCCAGTTGTCGAGACTCACGTGGTGAGTACTTGTCCGAAGAAGAGCTTAAGGAAAATGTAAGTGGTTTATGGTCGGTAAAAATGGTAAATTCACGGCCTTCGATATAGTGTTGAAAATGCCGGACAGCACAATACATAGCTAGGAGTTCCCTACCGAATGTGCTGTACCTCAATTCATTGTCTAGTAACCGTCTAGAAAAAAATGCCTAGGTTGCCAGGAGTGGTTAACCCACAGTTGTAAGACTGCTCCGATTGCTAAGTCAGGCGCGTCTACTGCGATAATATTGGGCGCTTCATTGTCCTGATGAGCAATCATTGTTGCACGAGCGATACGTCCTTAACCGTGGAGAATGCTTTTCGAGCGGTGTCATCCATATTGGTGGATTTCACATTTCCACGAAGTTGGTCGGTAAGGGGTTTCATAAGTAACGCGCATTTCGGTATGAACCGTCTATAAAAACTTACCAGACCGTTAAACGTGCGCAATTGTTTGATGGTGGTCGGTTCTGGGTAATCCAGAATGGCCGCCACTTTTGTTCTAAGGGGTCGAATGCCATGCGCGTCTATGGTGTGTCCTAAGAAGTCTAAGGATTCGGTTCCGATTTGGCATTTCTGAATGTTTACAGTAATGCCATGTTTTTGTAGTCGGTCAAAGACAAGGTCCAGATGCTGGAGATGTGATTCTTTGTCCGGACTTGCTATTAGACAGTCATCAACGTATGCATGTACGAAGTTGAGACCTCGAAAAACGTCATCTATGAACCTTTGGAAAGTCTGTGCCGCGTTTCTCAGACCGAAAGGCATTCGCGAAAATTCATAGAGTCCGAAGGGCGTTATAATAGCGGTTTTTTGAAATGTCGTCAGTGGCCATAGGAATTTGGTTATAGGCTTTAACCAAGTCGATTTTCGAAAGGACAGTTGCACCTTTCAAGGTAGCTGTCAAATCGTGAATGTGAGGCAACGGGTAACGATCGGTAATTGTTTTTGCATTCAATCGCCGATAGTCACCAGTTGGACGCCGATCGTTGCTGTCCTTTTTAGGGACCATGTGCAACGGAGATGCCCATGGGCTATTTGACGGTCGTATGATTCCTAAGTCCATCATATGGTCGAATTCGTTTTTCGCCAACCTTACCTTTTCGGGGGCCAGTCGGCATTCCTTAGAGAATACAGGTGGTCCTGTAGTCGTGATGTGATGTGTAACATTGCTGGTTACACACGGCAATTTCGGTTGCGATTGGTAAATGCCAGAATATTTATCGAGTAGTGGTTGGTAGAAGGGGTCTATAGTGTGCTTAATAGTGACTGGGGATAACCTGCGACCAGAAAAAGAAGTCAGGCAAACAGATAAATTAGTGTTTCCGTCTACTAACCTCCGTTTGCGCGTATCGATAATTAAGTTGTGGTGCTGTGGAATGTCCATACCAATGATTGGCATAGAAACATCTGCAACAACAAAAATCCAGTGAATGGGCTTGCGTAAACCCACGTTATGATAAACATACCTTTTGCCATACGTAGCGATAGGCTTTCCGTTTGCCGCCTGTAGATTTAAAACGGGCTCGTGTAGCCGGTCGTTGGAATTCGCTGGGAGAACGCTAACCTCTGCGCCAGTATCTACGAGGTAGCGAACTCTCGTTATCACATCAGTGACATACAAATTACGGCTATGTTCGCCGGCTACGGTCGCCGTTAACGCGTGCCGGCTTGGAAGTTTCCCGAAACGTTCTTCGCGTCGACGGATTTCGCGTTGGGAACATTGCAGGGTTTTCTGCAATTTCTGGCGGACTTTCCGTACTGGTTATGGTACCAGCACCAATCAGGATTATCCGTCTCTCGAGTTCTAGATACAGATCGCCTACATGATGTGCTTCTCCGCGGGGTAAGTGATCGTTTACGGTCGTTGCAGAGTTTGAGATAGCGCGTAAGTGTATGACATAACTGTTTTATGTCATTCTGGGTGGTTTGAGGCTTTTCTTTGACTGAAAAAACTTCGGCGTTAGAAGACCTAGTGATTTCGAGAATGCGGTCGGCAGATGCAGCTAGCTCGTCTACGGCGTTGTTTTGGGACGAGACCAAAACAGCTTGCACCTGTTGAGAAAGTTCGGATAAGAAATGTTGTTTGGATAGGCCGTCATCGAAGGTTCTTTAGCCAATGACTTCTCGCATCCTTTGCAACATGTCTGTGGCAGAACCGTGTTGCAGGTCGATGTTGTTAAGGAATTGGTCTAACCTTTGTCGATCGGTTAGATCTCCGCGTTTAAGGATGGCATGTTTCAGGGTTTGGTATGGATCAGAAACATCACTAGTAAACATACTAGGTGTTACGTACCTGTTAAATTCGCGCGGTAGTGCCTTGACTACTGTGAGGAATTGTGCACGCACATCGTTCACACCGTGCTCGAAGAAGTCGGCTTCTGCGTAACAAAACCAGGCTTCGATGTTGTCTGGCCAGGAAGGCATAAGTTGGAAAGAGGGTGGGGACACAGTCTTTAACTTAAATACTTTAGGAGTCTGTTCAGTCATAGTAATATATCAAGTACGAAAAGTGAACGAGTGGGAAATATATATATACCCAAAAACACGAAAAAATATCACAATGTTAAAAAAAATTAAAATAAGACAATGATATATAAAATCACAAAAAGGAACAGACTCACAGTTTACGATATGGTGTACCAGATCACGTCGGGCTCACCAATGAAGATGCCACAGGTATTCGGAGTTTGACAACGCTTTAACCAGTAGCACCTTCTAATACGAAGCGCACCCACCAAGTAAAATCAAAAGACAGAAGTGAGGAGATCGAAGATATATTTGATAAGCTATCAATATATCGAGGATCGTTTGCACTAATCTGGCTAGCGATTGAGGCAGATGTTGAGCACGGCGTTCCCACACGTGATCTGGTGGGGATGCTTGACCGAGCGCCTTCAGCTAGATGAGTCCACTAAAACTGTGGTCAGCATCCAATGTCGAGAACTTACAGAGTCATTTGATTTTGAGGAATTATTTACCGCTACAGCCTCAATCCCGTCCTTTCAGTTTCTAACCATCAAACGTGGAGAAACCAAATCTATAATTTCGGGACTAGGTTTATTATTATATTAGCTAAGGTAAAGTTTCTAATACTGAACTAGACAATAATTCTACATTGGTAATACCGACTGAAGAAACAGATCATGTTATTAATTCTCATATTTACTCGAACGAAATCGACCGATTTTTACTTACGTTTACCCACTGTTCAATTAGTCTGTAGACTAATAAAAGCGTGTATTGTGTTGTAATGTGGATTATTGTTCATATTCAGCATGCCGATTAGATCGATACCAATAACTGTTCAAACATATTTGTGACTAGCTATGAGGATTCAATAACAAGCGCTTGTACCAAAATATAATATTGAATAAAGCCATAAATATATAAATAAACAAATAAATAGTAGCATTTAGTGAAAGAGGTTCGTCAAAGCGCTCTTAAAGTGTTTCCTGATCTTTCAAAATGTGGGTGAAGCATGATAGAAGTAAAAAGTTACACATTAAATTCACCCTAATTTTGACATCGAAAAGTAAGGTGTAAAACACTAGTGAAGAAAAGTGAAAAGCAACTAAGTGCCTACATGTTATTTCTATTGAACTACACTAGATATATGTTGTCGAAGAAATTCCTATAAAACATCTCAGACCGATTCGTTTTGGTTTATTATTCATTTTTTTGTCGGTGGATTTCCATTAATTTCACAGTTTCGCTTCATAATTAAACCAAAGAAAACTTAAAAATCGGATAGTATCAGAATGCTGCAGATTTAAAATGATGAAAATTCGAAGTATTACTTTCCCTAATTGATAAGTAGTTGACTGAACTCACGACCGGAAAATCACAGGAGAAGTTATAAAACGTGTTAGCTGTGTTTAAAAGAACAGACTAACAAATTTAGAAAAAAATTGTTATTGTACATTGAAATTCAATGCTGCATAATGAATTTTTAGATTTCTTTAAGATCTATCTTAATAAGAAGTATATCCTATAATCTTTTTGATGGTTTTTTATTATGCAAATATTAGACAACTTTTTCCACTATTTTTAAAGTTCTGTTTGTGACGCTCGTAAGTTCGTTGTTGAAGCTGACTTTCCTGTGTTTTTATTTCATTGTACTGTTAAGTCTTCATTTTAATAAGATTTCATCTACTGGCTTTGGTATTTCGACAACGGACCAGTGAATTTTGTAAAATGTCAGTGAAAACATATCATCCGTTTCCTTGAAGTCCTGTGTTGTTACCTCATTGTAAAGTCTTCACTGTAGTCTGTTCACAGATTGGTTACTTAATTATTCTAATCTGTAGGCTTTATTGATTTTGGTGATAACATTGCGTTCATTATATTTTGGTGAATCGAACGTGGTCTTCAAACGTCGATTCCGTCTACTAGTTTGCAATGCTCACGAATATAGTAAACACGTGATTTAGTGTTTCTCAGAAGCAAGTCTTCAACCGACTTACATCAGGTAATCGTTCCGTTATATGTGTATGATGGTCAAACTTAGCTGTAAATGTCTGAACGAAATCTTGTGGCAGAAAGTCTTTCTGTGTCTCACCATCTGTTCTTGTCGTGTCAGATTTGAGAACCGGTTTGGTTTTACGTTTAGGATTAATCTGTTCTCACTTTTTCTACCCTTCACCTCTGATAATACAAGTTACCACATTAGGTCCTACTCCATGAAAAAAGTCTTGTTAGCCGATTAAAAATGGTCGAAAACTGTCAAGGTACACGTGTTGCCGAGGGAATTTAACCCTTAAATGGACTTAGGGTGAAACACGTTGAAATAAACTAATGCGAAGTTGTAATTTCGTGTTGAACAACCTTGCTAATAATATTATGTGATTCATAACAAAGTATTCGAACAGTTTTCTTAGTTTCTTGTTTTTTTACATGTTTTCTTCTTTTGTTGATTTTCCTGTTGGTTCTGGTATATATTCCTTGCCGGTAGTATATCAATACATTTTATAAGGTGCTACATTATCTATGATATGACCAGAATAATAGAATCAGAAAAATATGCGCACAGTCTCACGAAATTGCGTGGATTAAAGTTATCACTTATTAACATTCTCAGAAATACTAGTGAACTGAAAATACTGAGGAAAAACTTGACGTCCCATTAGTCAAGCAGATCAACTTAGTGAGAAGTACAGACATGTTAAATGTTAGTTAAATGATAGTGTGGCTACTATGATCTAATGTTATCGATTTCTATCTTACCTTGTTTTTACTTGTTAATTCTGGTGTTCGCGAGGATTATATTCAGCAAGTCTTTTGTGTTGTAACACAATTTGACGTAATCCAAATCTCAAACTATGTATACTTTTCTCTACGTATTCGAACTTTCCCCTTATTAACTTACCTGCTTCGGTTTGGGCACCCGGGCAGTGTCACAGCCCTCACACATATCAAATGAGATATGTGTGACGCATATATATTTGGTGCCTCCTTGTACCGATATCTGTGTTAAAATAAATAAATAATGAAATAACTTATTAACTTTAATATTTGCTTGCTTTCTTGATCTTTTTCGGTGCTGTTCGTGAATTATCGAAACTCAAAGTGATAGACTTATGTTTCCTTTCCCAAAAAGTCTTGAAAGGTTGATTGCTCGTACATCCTGGGACCACCGAGTAAGTAACACAGTTGTTAGGAAACGGGTACTAGGTAAGGATGGCAAATCACATGATGAAGTAGTGAAACTTAATCAGTTGAGATGGCTGGGACATGTGTTACTCATGCCCGACCACCGACTGCCCCGACGTACGATGTTTTATGATGTAGGAGTAGGTTGGAAGAAAGTTAGGGGCGGCCAGACCAAAACATGGCACAAATCCATGAAGTCACTGACAAGTGGACTGAGTCATGTTGGTAGGTGTAGACTACCTGGTTGGGGACCGCGAGACGATAGCGACCGATAGTTAGAGACCTTGAATGATATGGCTCAAAATCGTTTGCAATGGCATAGGTGCATCCACTCTTTGTGCTATTCCAATCTCTGATCTTCTGAATTCTTCATGTCCTTTATTTTCTTTCTAAATCTATTCCACTGGACTATACTCCTTGAATAACATCTTCAAACCCTAATGTTCCCTATCACTACTTATACTTTCACTACCTCTACCACTACGGGATTTGAATCGATAACTGAATCTGTGCTAATGTGGTGTATGGCAACTCGAACTGATATACGTACGTACGAAGTTGCACGTTGTTACTGACTGACTGACTGATTCTGGATATGTAGCATGATGGCTTAAATTCGAACAAATTTCTATTACTGGCATATTGGATTAAATAAGACATATATTCTCTTCTACTTGAAAATATGATGGTTTTTTATCTTTTTCTTTCAGACAGCAAATGGACTTCTTGGTGGAGATGGATGATGAGTTGGACTATGTTAGTTTATTGTATTTCTATTAATTTGGTTGATTTGGCTATTAATTGCAAACTTTGTTTATTGTATAGTTTTATTATTATTCGAACAAATATTGGTACAAACGGGCACTGAATACATATGCGCCACACAGGTCATATGATTTGTGTGGGCTGTGATACTGTCTGAGTGCCCAAACCGAAACAGGTAGTTTTCTCGGGGGTCTACATCAGGAGCCCTTAACCTAAAGGTCTAGTCCACAAGGCAGTGGAGCCACGTCGGAAGATGCAGTCCCATTGTGGTTGGTGACCAATAATTGGTTCATATGCAATTTGTTCTTTCAGGATCCTGGAGCCAGCTCATGTGCATGATCGTTTTGGAATCAGGGTTTTCCAACTCCCCTAGGTGAACTCTCTGTGTCGACCAACCAGGTTGGAGCGTCGGACATTCGCTTTTCATCCTCTCAGTTTCTCGAAAAACAGTGAGGACTTCCCTGGCAGTGGTTGTATGCACGTGGCCATGAGATAGCATTTCGAGAGGGAGAGCTAACTCTCACCACCGTACCAGGGCGTTCTAGAGCAATTGTATACTACATCGTTGATATTTTATCAATATTATGTTATTACCGACATTTGTTTCTAATTAATGGTTTAATCCAATTATTTAGCCGCAAAGTGCAACGCACGGAGTTTGTCTTGGTTCATCCTCCCTTTGCTCACAGTTTGGACACATCTTCATAAGTTTGAGATTACTTACTTCTGTTACCCCTAGTGGAGAAGCATAGGTCACCCACCAGCATTTTCTATAGACCTCTGTTGTGGACCATCCTTCCTGGTTGTTTCCAGTTGCTACCGATTCTCTCGATCTCTGCTTCCGATTCCCGATGCCATGTGTTCCATGATCTTCCTTGACTACCTTGACTTTCTGTTGTTAATTCTTGTCTTCTTGTATTTCCTTACTTATACCGTGTACAGAGTTTCGATGGAGATCCACTCTTTATGATGATGCTTCTTGCGTCTTAAAACCTACTGTGATGTTGAAGTTAGTGCTTCTCTGATCCGTTTTCGATTGTTTTCTATAGTAGTTTCTTCTTATTGGAACCTATTACTGAGACTTGTTTTGAATTCACCAATTTTATCAGTATTTTGAAGGAAGGCTGTATTAAACCCTTGTAATGCTGTTTCTCTAGTTGTCCAGTGCTTTTTTAGTTTCAATTTCATCTTGGCAACAATCAGGTGGTGATTTGAAGCTATGTCAGCTCCTCTCTTGGTTCTCATGTTTTCCATTGACTTTTTGAATTCCTTATTGATGTAAATATAATCAACCTGATTCTCTGTAGTGTGATTCGGTGATAAAGAAGTGGCTTTGTGTATGTGTTTATGTGTGAATATTGTGCCGCCTATAACCGATTTGTTGATCTCACATAAATTTGCAAGTGTCTCATCATTTTCGTTTCTTTCCCCCAGTTCATGTCGTGCTATGAAATCTTCGTATCCGGTGTTGTTCATTCCAACTTTGGCGTTTAGGTCTCCAATCAGGGTGGTCAGATCTTTTCCTGGGCACCTCGCTATGATTTATTGTAGCCTCTCATAAAACTGATCTTTAATGTCATCGTTGCTATCATTGGTTGGTGCATAAAATTAGATAAAATTCATTGTAATCCCCTTCTGATAATTCTGGATACATGAGAATCCTATCCCATAAGTGCATTTCGTTCTTCTTTGGGTAGCATCAGTGCAACTTCCTGAGTGCACGGTGCTAGCATGTTCTTCTTCATGACCAGAGTACAACAACATCTCTCCTGAATCTAATGCTTTCTGTCCAGCTTAGGTCTAATGGGTGTCACTTATTCTGATAACTACCAAGTTGTACATTCTCATTTCCGTAGCTATCTGACTGGCGCTCTCGGTCTCCCATATTGTCCAGTCATTCCAGGTATCCATATTAATTGTTCGTTTTGGTTGTTAGAAGGAGCATCTGCCGCGTGACTTCCGAAGAATCTCGACTTTCGCCATGAGTCGTCATAATTCTTCTAAATGAAGATCCTTCAATTTCCAGGACAGTTTAAGTGGTTTAGTTTATTCTTTTTGGTTGGCGTCTTTTAGTTGGATTATTTTCTATGAAATGAGGTTGCTGATTTCATGTTCAACCCTCTCTTTCATCTAGGCTTAGGATCGGTAGTAACCCCAGAAAGTCTATTGTCGTAATGGGATTTGACATGTATAGAATCATTTAAATATAACGCTCTCAGTAGTTTGGCATTCTTACTTCTAATCCCTCGGTATCATATTGTCACATGAAATATCGGTCATTTTAATCAAACTTCGTCTTCATATCACGGAATATGTTTGAAGTTGTATTTTGTAAGGGTCATTTTCCAGTCTCACAACTTTCCACAAGAAGTTATTTTAATTTGTTTGAATTTTGTGGAACTCATGTAACATCTATGTTACGTTTTTTAAGTACCTAGGCATAACAAAATTTGATTATATACTGTTGTTTTAATATGGATATCATCTTTACAGTTTTATTTCTATTAATTTAAATCAACGATAACTATATGTAGAATATTGTTCTCGGTAGGTTCTCATTAAGTTCCATAATTAAGTATCTGCATTAATGTTTCAGAAGAAGCAAATACATCTAAGAGTTACATCACATGGATTTCAGAATTGTTAACAAAATAAAGCAAAATTTTTAGTATGCACTATTGACTTCCATAAGTTTCTACGTTAAATAATAGTCAGAATACCTACAGATAACAGAGCGAAGAGATTAATAGTACACTTACAAACCAAACTAAACGTTTGTTTAAAGATGAAGTAACTCATGAAGTTATATGAAGTCAGTAAGAGATAGCAAATTGAGTGAGTGTGGTTATCGTAACCATAGGTAGAAATATTGGATAAGATGACTTAGAATCAATGACACTGGGACAAATGCACTCGTCTTTTTCTTCAGTTCTTGATTCCCAAAATCTTATACTCTCTGTATGTAATCTTTTTTTATTATCACTGATACCGTTAGTATTCCTACCACTCCGGGAAATGACAGTAATTTTTTCTGGGTATTTCAATGTAGTGTGGGAACGTGAATCGATGTACATGTATATCAGATTTCATGTTGCATATAACTGACTGACTAAAGTGGAAAAGTATTTAGCTGAAAGTTTTCACTACAGAGGAAAAGTGAATCCCCAAAACATTTGCTAGTGTAACTTGCTTCACATGATCAAGTAAGCTGATAGATATAAAAATCGTGGCTAGTTTAGGCAATCTATCTCTCAGTCTGAGTGTTACCGTCGAACGGATAGAAAATATTAGTTGTGGTTTTCCCACGTCTAACGTTTCTTAAATTGTTTTGCGTAACCTCATAATTAAAACTTCTTAGGGTACGTTACCTCTAAATAACAGGTGCATAAACAGTTCGTACCGTTCTGACTTTTGTTTTACTGTCGTAACTAAGCACTTGCTTACTAAGTTTTGGTCAACTTATGGTTTAGAATGAAGGTGAATCACCTGTAACTCTCAAAAGAACCGGTACCAGTTACACAGGAGATTCAAAGTCTTCACAGTTTCACGTTAAACCAGCTTATCTAAGCGATAAAGGCCGTCGTACTATTGTTTCTCCCCGTGAGGAAGGAGAGGCTTATTCAGATGATGAAAATGATTCTGCTATGCCACCAGTTGATTCAAAGCGTGAATATAACAGCAAACAAATAACTCATTTTGATAAAGAAGAGGGTGAAGCATCTAGTGAAGAGGATCGACGTTATGACAATTCAAGGCGGGAAAAATCAGGTTCCAGTAAATATCCTCCAGGGAATACAAATTTGACACTTGAGGAGCATCAATATCGAAACCGTTTACATGAAAGATATGAACGCCGTGAGCGTGAGAAGAAGCGAATACGTGATAACATAGATCCAGAGTCAATGCATGGGTCAAATCAACATGGACGTTCAGTATATTACAAAGAAAATTCTGCCTCCAGCAGTGAAAGAGAAGGTATCCATTCTAATCCAAAAGTGGAAGACTTAGAAATTAATCGGAAGTATCAGTCTTCGAAACAATCGGATTCAAAACAGAGAGGTAATCTTAATTACAGCTAAATTGCTTTTGTTTAAAATTTCCTTTAAAATAATGGCTTACAGAATTTAGCATGGATTTTCAGATTTATACTCACTCACTGCGTAATCCGATATGGGATGATATAATATGAATGAGTTAGGAGAAGCCTGTGGGATAGTCAAACCAAGATGTTTCACTAATTCATGAAATCCTTGACTCTTGGTCTGAAATTTATCTTCAGGTTGAGACATTCCGGATCACAGTGTTTGGGCGATAACTGCAATCAATCATTGGAGATATTAGGTGACACTACTGGAAACCATTTTCAGTAGAGCAGCTGTATGTATTTATCATAAAATCAACAAGATGAGTTATGAAAGGAACTAAATGAAAAATACTAAGATTTTTAAATTTATTAGGATGTAATGAGTAACTACATCTGAGTTACAGTTATCAACTTGTGGCTATGTCATTTGGGGTTTCTACCGGTTAGTTGCCATCATCTTAAAAACTAAGAACTTTACGTACCTCTAAACTTCTCAGATAAGCGGTAAGTGCCTCCAGACTAATGTCTTGCTCTGGTTCATCCAACCTTACTAACTTCAGTGAACAGAAAACAAATAATTTTAGATGAGGGTTATTATGTTTATGTTACAAGATCTGATAGATATATTGTAGATCAGATCTGTAATCTGTCTGTATTGTACCTGTTAGCTGTACTTGGGTTTCTGTAAGATGCTGAATAGCTATGAATCCTAAAACCGTTGGAAATTTCAAAAATGTTCTATTATATTTTGTCTATCCTTTACTTAGTAGACAGTTATATGTCAACTGTTACTTATCATCTTTCCTCTTAAGTTAATATCTTAAACTGATTCAATTTCTTTACATACTTGCATATTGATTTAATCATTGAATCAGTTCTTTGTGTTAGCTATCGGAGATTCGTGTAAAAATCATTCATTTGTCAAAGATTATCTATAATTATATTGGCTGCTGTGTAAACAGACAATGAACAATTCAGAATTCAGTCACTTAGCTGAGATAATACAGTTTCGACAAAATTATCCTTTAGAGCTACATATTTCCATTATCATTTTAATTGATTGTACACTTTTTTCTTAGGTTCCAAATACCACCTCTTGCAAAGGCGAGACATCCATCTATCAATTAAGGGAAGAACATACTGTGCGGCAGTTTGTTCTGTTTTACTTTACGGCTGCAAAATGTGGCCATTAAGAGAAGAATATATTCGTAAGTTACTAGTATTTGACTACAAGTGGCTTATAAATATTGCCAGCATATGCTAGGATCATCGGGTAAGTCATAGTGAGGTTAGACGTAGGGTACTAGGGAATGATGGTTAACAAGTTGATGAGGTTGTGAATCTTCATCGACTGAGATGGTTGGACCACGTGTTACGTATACCTGAACATTGATTACCACGATGCACAATACTGACTAGTATTTGAGACGGTTGGAAGAAAGTTAGAGGCGGTCAAACCAAATCGTGGCACCAGTGCTTGAAATCACTGAGTTTTGGTCTGAGCCATATTGTTAGATGCAGACTGTTCCGTTGGGTTCCGTGTGACTATTGTAACCAGTGATTAGAGACTGTGTGTGTGTGACATGGATCAAAATCGATCAATAGCGTCGGTGTATACACTCTCTGTCTTCCTTTAAACTAAGAGATTAAAATTGCTTCATGTCTTTCTTTCTACTAACTAATTCATTCTTCCTGTACTATATCTTTATATGTAAACTTTCTTTCATACATTACTACCATTGAAGTGACTACTTCTATGAATCCGGTGTTCATCTTGTTGTGGTAATAAGGTATTATGGCAACTTGGACCGATGCATATATGTGCGCCTGGTCATACGCTTCATGTGACTGACTGACAGCTATTCGAATAAACATGTTTATGATGTTATTTCTACATTATTTTCTTTCTTTAGATCGTATATTAGTGTCTAACGTTAATCAAACATTAGAAAAATCACCTCAAGATAATCGACAATACAAAACAACTTTACAAACAGAACACGACGACTATGTGTTAAAATATGGTCAAAATCAATCAAATTGTGTTAATGTAACTGATAGAATGATTGAATCGCAAACTATTTACCCAGATGAATTAAATCCTTCACAATCCCAGATAAATCGTAAATCAAAATCTAAAAAATCTAAACGTGATCGAAAAGAAAAACAGCATAAAATCACATCAAAAAATCATGAATTCACAACATTAAAAGTTAAAAAAGAAAATAAACAACAAAAAATTCAATCTTCTAGTAATAATACTAGTCATTTAAACTATAATACATGGGAATCCATTCAAAAATATACTAAACTTTCAGATCATCATCATGGACCTCTTCAACATAGTCGTTCAGGTTCATTAGATTCTATATCTTCTACTTCATCACAATTAAGTAAAATTTCTGTCTACACTGATTGTTCATCACATTCATCATCATTAAAATATCATAAATCATCAAGATCATTACCAACTGGTCAACAATTTCCACATTGTTCTCAATCACCTAATCATCTTAATGAATCTTATACTTATTCTAAAAAACGTTATCATCGTGAAACTAGAGAAACTGCTCCACCACCTGAATCCACACGTTATTATATTGGTTCAAATCAAATCTCTATAAAAATAAAACATAAATCTAAAACTGATAAACATGAATTATCTGATTCAATGAATTCTATTGTCAATTTATCTAATAAACAAATAGATCATTCACATAAACATTCTATTACTGGACATACTAAATATAAATTATCAAAATCATTTAAAACTGATTCTATTAAACATAAAAAACATTCATCTAAAAATATCAAATTAAAAACCAATCATTCAACTACTCTAAGAAAAAGATCATCCAATTTAAAATTGGAAGAAGAAGAAGAACAACAAGAAGCAGAGGAACAAGAAGTAGTAGAAGAAGAAGAAGAAGAAGAAGATTATGGACAAAATAATCGTAATCTTTATAAGTTAATAGTAAATAAATCTGAAAATGCAGTACACTATTCAGAAGAAAGTGATTCAGATCTACATCATAATAATAATAATAATAATAATAATCAACGAAATATTCATGAAAGTAATTATAGTAAGATAACAGATCTTAATATAAATGAGACAGCTATTAGAAAATCTAAACAAATAAATGTATTATTTCCTATTGGAAATGATATAAAAGGTGAATTTAATAAACTACCACCACCACCACCACTACCACCTTCACATTATCCAGGCTATTCAGAATCTTCATCTGAATGTGAACAAGGTGGAGTACCCGATAATGATTTTTTAGATGATGATGATGTTGATGATGATAATGTCAATAATCATAAAGTTGATGATGATGTTAAACTTCGTAAACATGATGATGTTGTTAAGGATGATGAGGATGAAGATGACGAAATTAGTTCTTTTAAGAATAAACCACCTGGAAAGCCATTCTATTTCCCATCTATACAAGTAAGGGTGAAAATTTTTTATTTTTTATATGTATTAAATATTGATTATGTAATTAACAATATCATGCCCCCAAATGCCCTGGTACGGCCGAGAGTGGGGAGAGTCCGCTCTCCCTCTCGAAATACTCTCACATGACCACACGTATATAGCCTCTGCCAGCGAAGTCCTACTCAGTGCCTTCTCGTGGCGGGGATGTTATCTACGAAAATGAGAGGATGAAAAGCGAATGTCCGGCGCTTTAACAAGATCCCAATGTCGATTTTAGACATTTTACAACGATATAACCGTATTTCGTATAAAGACACTCAATGAGGAGGATATGAATTTCATGAGTACCAGTTCCACAAAAATTCCAGGTACCTCATTCATCAGAGTGCCAACTAGCATCAAATTTAGGTTTAGGGTTTCTTGATATCTTTCTCTAACCAACAAACATTAGAACATAGTGGAAGTTATAGAAAATCACTCAGACTAATGACCACATTGGAACTTGGTCAATGAAATTAAAATCAGTATTGAGAATTAGACAAGTGTGATATTGTTATTTATTATTTATTTATTTTAACACATAGGTATTGGTACAAGGAGGCACCAAATACATATACGCCACACGAATCTCAATTGATATGTGTGAGGGCTGTGATACTGAACGGGTGCCCAAACCGAAGCACGTGGTTTTCTTAGGAGGCCACACCCCAAGCCTTCGACCTGAGCGTCTGATCCACAAGGCAGTGGAGCATCGTGAGGAGATGCAGTCCCATGGTAGCCGGTGACCAACGATTGGTTCATACGCCATTTGTTCCTTCAGGAAACTGGAACCAGTCCATGTGCATCATTGGTTTGGGATCCGGTTAAAGCGCCGGACATTCGCTTTTCGTCCTCTCAATTTCGTTACGAACAACACCCCTGTTGTGAGAAGGCAGTGAGTAGGACTTCCCTGGAAGAGGCTATATACTTGTGGCCATGTGAGAGCATCTGGAGAGGGAGAGTGGACTCTCCCCACTCACGTCCGTACCAGGGCATTTGGGGGCGGTTAGTATTAATAATTTCATCATCGTCGTTAAGTTTAACTTCTGGATATAATCATGGACGTATTTTCATAAAATACAGTATGCTAAATCACTTCTCACTCCATTCCATTAATCCTCTTCTTAGATTTTGATCTATATCATAATCTATATCTCGTTTCATCTTTTTTTTTTAAGGGTTGTAGATCAGTAGAAGAATTTGAATGTCTTAATCGTATTGAAGAAGGTACTTATGGTGTTGTTTATCGAGCACGTGATAAAAAAGTTAATGAAATTGTTGCATTGAAACGTTTAAAAATGGAGAAAGAACGTGATGGTTTCCCAATTACATCATTACGTGAAATAAATATGTTAATGAAAGCTCAACATGAAAATATTGTTACTGTACGTGAAGTAGTAGTTGGTAGTAATATGGATAAAATTTATTTAGTTATGGATTATGTTGAACATGATTTAAAATCATTAATGGAGGTAAGTAGGTGGTTCGGTTATTGTTTTTCTGTTTTTTTTTCTGGTTAGAATTTTTTTAGCGAGTTAGTTTTCTACGGAATGGAGTCGCTAATCCTCATGCCCAACCCTCCTCCTTTATTCGGGCTTGGGACCAGCAGTAGCCCCAGAGGGGCTCCAGGCGGAGTTTTGTGTTATTTTACGTAGTATAATTTTATATTTAAAATTACCGACTGTTCTTAGTTTAATTTATTGAAAGTTGATAACCACTTGACGACTGTTTCGTCCTAGCATGGCACTACTGAGCAGTGCGCATCTTCAAACCGGCTGGATATCAAACCGAGGACTTCAGGTCTCAGCGCGCTCTTTATGTTTTAGTCACTGACTCAGAATCAAATGATCTTCATTCTTAACTTCAATCGATTTGTAATATTACAATGGAATATTTCAATCCGGCTGGTAGATACTTGCTGCTTGTCTAAGATAATTATACTCTTATGAATACGGTCCCTTACTAGAGCTCCCTGAATCGCCTCGGAATTGGTCACTAGCGAGCACACGATTATTATTAGTTATATAATTCATTCATACAGGTTTTGTATTTCATCTTGTTCATTGAATAGGTAAATGTTATGTTTACTTGGCTGTTAACTAAATCATTTGTGTTAAAAGTTAGGGATACTAGTACTTGGTTGCTTAAACTGAAGTAAGTAAACCGAATCTGTGAATTATTATTTCAAAGCTGACTGCTTTAATCAATTAGCCACCACTCTATAATAAAAATATGTAATAATAAATATCATTTACTATCTGTAAAAGTGATTCTTTTTCTTATTGAGTTCTAGTTGGCTAAAACTCTTCAAATGAACCAATCATTGGTCACTGGCTACCATAGGACTGCATCTCCTGACGTTGCTTCACTACCTTGTGGATCAGATCTCTAGGTTGAAGACTCTTTAAGAAAACCAATTGCTTTAGTTTGAGCACCCGAACAGTATCAAAGCCCTTACACATATCAAATGAGATTTTTGTGGCTTTTATGTATCTGGTACCCCCCCCACTTGTACCAATATTTATGTGTTCAAATTAATAACTAAGTTCCACTGGTTGAAATCATGAATCAATTGAAGCTAGAACGCCATGAAAAACCTGGAAGCACTGGACGGCCGTTCCGTTTTAGTATGGGACTCCTCAGTAGTGCGCATCCGCGATCCCGCTTCTCACGAGATTCAAACCCAGGACCTATCAGTCTCATGCCAGGCGCTAAACCAACTAGACCACTGAGCCGGCATCCAACGGTTTTAATGTCTAACTTCAACCAATCCACGAAGTTGCGTCACCGTACACCATTGTCTTCAGTGAGTTGATATCTCACAACAGACCTGGTTGAACTCCACTGGTAACGGCTTCTCACTAGAACTCCAGGAGTATCTCTTGAAGTCAGTCACTAGTGAGCAGATGATATTATTATTATCAGAAGGGATTATGTGGAGATTTTAGAAATTTCACTGATTGAAATCATGAATCAATTGAAACTAGACTACCATAAAAAACCTGGAAGTACTAGACGGCCGTGAAATTTCTAAAATCTCCACACAATCCCTTCTGATAATAATAATTAAGTATCTAATTCAGTTGTGGATTACAGTTTAAAGGATAAGAAAGGTTCTTAATTATCAAAATAAATGAACAGAATGCTAATAGAGTAATAAAATAATGTCTTACAATGTGGTTCTCACACTACCGAATTATTGGTATATGCTTTCAGTAAACTAACATCATAAACAAGACAGTTCCCCATTAGAATAGACTTTATTTTATGTAATAAAATGATATACTTATTTACAAAAATATTATCACAAAGTAAACACAATCTAATGCCATCATTGATTGGTTACTGTCATTTTTTGAAGATCTTTATTATTTATTTTAACACTTAGGTATTGGTACAAGGAGGCACCAAATACATATACGCCACACGAATCTCAATTGATTTGTGTGAGGGCTGTGATACTGCCCGGGTGCCCAAACCGAAGCAGGTGGTTTTCTTAGGGGGCCACATCCCGAGCCTTTGACCTGAGCGTCTGATCCACAAGGCAGTGGAGCATCGTGAGGAGATGCAGTCCCATGGTAGTCGGTGACCAACGATTGGTTCATACGCAATTTGTTCCTTCAGGATACTGGAACCAGTCCATGTGCATCATTGGTTTGGGATCCGGTTAAAGCGCCGGACATTCGCTTTTCGTCCTCTCAATTTCGTTACGAACAACACCCCTGTTGTATGAAGGCAGTGAGTAAAACTTTCCTGGAAGAGGCTATATACGCGTGGCCATGTGAGAGCATTTGGAGAGGGAGAGCGGACTCTCCCCACTCTCGGCCGTACCAGGGCATTTGGGGGCTTTGAAGATCTTTAACTCTTTAATAAATTCAAATCTCTTGTTGTCCATGGATATTGGTTTCGTGTAGTGTTCAGACTGAATGTTCAGTTTGTTTTGTATGAATTGAATGTTATTCTTTTTTTCTTTTTCGGTTTGGAAATAATCGCTATACATTACATACACAGTACAATGTTTCATCTATTCTTCTGTGTTTATAACTAGTATCTAATTGTTTTTGTTTACTCCTCTCTCTCTCTCTCTCTAGATTATGAATGGTCCTTTTAGTGTTGGTGAAGTGAAATGTTTACTTGTACAATTACTAAGAGCAGTTAATCATTTACATGATAATTGGATATTACATCGTGATTTAAAAACTTCAAATCTTCTATTAAGTCATCAAGGAATATTAAAGGTGAATTATAATTATTGTTTAAGTAAATTGCCCAATTTATTCATTAGTAGTTATTCAAAACAATATATATCTGTAATCTTCAAACATTTTATATATCTTCTAAGCAAGAGAAAGATTTGACGTCCTTAAAATCATTTTGTCCTAGACTAACACTACTTAAAGAATGCTATTGAGAATATCGTTTAGTGATAGTGGAGAAGATTTGTAGCTCAGGTGGATGGTTTGGTTGTGAAGCTTTCATCGTTCTTCTGAACGACAGCATCATCAGAACAAACTTCAGATAGAAGTCTATCGATCCAGCTCAGTGAATACAACTCCATCAAAACTGCTTAGTCTTTATCTGAGACTCTGCAAAAGTGCACTAATACTTGAATCTAGTACTTGTAGAACTCTATACAAGCATATAACTTTTAGACTATTGAAAGTTGGGACTCAATCTTTCATATTTGCTATTTTGATCGCTTTGTGCTCATTTCAAGACAATTATTTTATTCCATGGCCTACTAAACAACTCATTTGGATACTTCCCCCAAATGCCCTGGTACGGCCGAGAGTGGGGAGAGTCCGATCTCCCTCTCGAAATACTCTCACATGACCACGCGTATATAGCCTCTGCCAGGGAAGTCCTACTCAGTGCCTTGTCGTGGCGGGGATGTTATCTACGAAAATGAGAGGATGAAAAGCGAATGTCCGGCGCTATAACCGGATCCCAAACCAATGGTGTACATGGACTGGCTCCAGTATCCTGCAAGAAGAAATGGCGTACGAACCAGTCGTTGGTCGTTCGCTACCATGGGACTGCATCTCCTCACGATGCTCCACTGCCTTGTGGATGAGACGTTCAGGTCGAAGGGGCGGGGTGTGGCCCCCTAAGAAAACCACCTGCTTCAGTTTGGGCACCCGGTCAGTATCACAGCCCACACATATATCAAATGAGATCTGTGTGGCGCATATGTATTTGGTGCCTCCTTGTACCAATATCTATGTGTTAAAATAAAATAAATAATTTAGATACTTTATTAAAAACGCAGTTTTAGATCTGTTTGCCTTTTCACTATCTTCTGTCGTTTATTATCAAACTTAATTTAGTCTATTCGTGCAAATTATTTAGCCTAAAGTTTAGATCATAAACTTGATCCGTTAATCTTATTTGACATTGACTATATTCGTCATTGGTATGGATTAGTGTAAAAATTGTTAGTTTTAATTTTTGAGAACCCTATTGTTGTTTCATTTTATTTTTATTTTTTTAAAATTTTTTTTTGCATGTTGATTTCTATAGGTAGGAGATTTTGGTTTGGCTCGTGAATATGGCTCTCCATTGAAACATTATACAGAAGTTGTTGTCACCTTATGGTATCGAGCACCGGAGCTGTTACTAGGTAGGTTTAATTGCTGCTTTTTTTCTCTCGTTTGTTATTTTTAAATGCTAATGAATAGATTTAATCATTAATTGATATACTAATTCACGTCTTAGATTCACGGGGCAGTCGGTGGTCGGGCATACGTAACGCATGTTAAGATGGCTGGGACATGGGTTACATATGCTCAACCACCGACTGCCCTGACGTGTGATATTTTATGGTGTAGGAGTAAGTTGAAAGAAATTTAGGGGCAGCCAGATCAAAACATGGCACAAATCCATGAAGTCACCGACAAGTGGTCTGAGCTATGTTGGTAGGTGTAGACTACCTGGTTAGGATCCGCGAGATGATAGAAACTGATGTTTAGAGACCTTGAATGACATGGCTCAAAATCGTTTGCAATGGTGTGTGCAGGTGCATCCACTCTTTGTGTTCTCCGAAATTCTAATCTTCTGAATTCTTTATGTCCCTTCTTTTTTCTCTCTTTCCAAATTTATTTCACTGTATCATACTCATTGAATAACATCTTCAAACCCTAATCTTTTCGATTACTGTTTATACATTGACTACTTCTACCACTATGGGATTTGAATCGATAATTGTATCAGTGTGGTAATGTGATATGGCTACTCGAAGTGATGTACGTACGTACGAAGTTCTACGTTGTTGCAGACTGACTGACTGATTTAGATTCACTGATTGTTTTATTATTAAGTTTTTTTTTTTTGAAGTCCTTAAAATATTTCTAGTCACAAATAGCAAATTTAAGACGTAAAATCTGTACTGTTTGACTGTACTTAGGTGGAGCGGTAGTAAATTGTTTCTCACTTGTATTCTGCATCTCCTAATGACGCTCTCTCAAGAAAACGGTAAAAGAAAATTCAAAACAGGTCAACCATAAAGAAAACTTCCTTGGCTCACAAATTTCTAAATTTTATATTTGCCTAATCTAACATCCTGCTTCGGTTTGAGCACCCGGGCAGTATCTCCGCCCATGCACTAAAATCATGATGAACTATTTGCTTATGGAAAATATTCCTTTCTCTCTGATTAACATTGAAATGACTCGTAATATTATTATTATTGTTATTATTATTATTATTATTATTATTATTATTATTATTATTATTAATGAAATCGGGCAAAGCTTGCGTAAGGACCGTGAAGCGTGGTGGTCGGAGCGTGCTAATGAGCTGGAAGCAGTAGCTGCATCTGGAAATTACCGGAAGCTCTTCCAACTCATCCGAGCCACTGGCAGCAAGAAGTCTGGTGTGAGCGAAACAATCTGCGAGGATGACGGAACGCCAATCACTAACATCCAACGACGTTTTGGACGATGGGCAGAATTTTTCGAAGGGCAGTTCAACTGGCCTGCTGCTTCGGCAACATCGGTCAGACTGTCCTGCCCTCCATGGCCGGTGACGACTGATCCACCAAAGGAACTCCAACTCTTGAAACGTTACAAATCACCGGGCCCAGACAACTTACCTCCGGCTCTTTTTAAAGATGGTGGTGACTTTCTGACTAAGGGACTGACGACGTTGTTTACAAAGATCTGGGAGCTAGAGAGTGTTCCAACTTCATGGAATGAGTCGATAGTTGTCCATATCTTTAAAAAGGGTTCACGTCGTTGCTGTAACAACTATCGGGGGATAAGTCTACTTCCGATTGCGTCCAAGCTATTGGCTTCCGTCATACTTCGTAGATTGTTCAGAACCCGAGAAGGATTGACTCGCGAGGAGCAGGCTGGGTTTCGTTCTGGTCGAGGATGTATTGATCATATCTTCACCCTCCAGCAAGTGTTAGAACACCGCCATACTTATCAAAGGCCAACAATCGTAGTGTTTCTTGATATCAGGGCTGCCTTCGATTCGTTGGACAGAACTGTTCTCTGGGATTGTCTGTTGAAGAAGGGTGTGCCTGAGAAGTTTATTAATATCCTAAAAGCCCTATACACATACACCTCAGGCAGAGTGAGGGCATACAACCACCTTTCTCCATTATTCCATTCAAGAGTGGGGTTAGGCAGGGTTGCCCAATCTCACCATTCCTCTCCAACTTTGCCATCGATGACATTCTGGAAACAGCTGTGATGGATGTAAGTAATGGTGGTGTGGATCTGTTGCTTGGCGAAAGACTTCTCGACCTTGAGTATGCGGATGATATTGTCTTACTGTGCGAGAATGTTCAAGCTATGCAATCCGCACTTAATCAGTTGGCAATCAATGTCCGTAGGTATGGTATGTGCTTCGCACCTTCGAAGTGCAAAGTACTCCTACAAGACTGGCAGGATTCTAATCCTGTATTCACTCTGGACGGTGAGCAGATAAAAGTGGTCGAGAAGTTCGTGTATCTAGGTAGCTGCATAAGTGCTGGTGGTGGCGTGAGTGATGAGATCAATGCACGTATAGTGAAAGCCAGAGCGGCTTATGCCAATCTGGGCCACCTTTGGCGCCTTCGTGATGTTGGTCTGGCTGTAAAAGGTCGGATCTACAACGCGACGGTGAGAGCAGTTTTGCTCTATGCTTGTGAAACCTGGCCTCTCCGAGTTGAGGATGTTAGACGACTCTCTGTGTTCGATCATCGTTGTCTCGGAAGGATTGCTGGCATCCAGTGGCAACACCATGTCAGTAATGCAGAGGTTCGGCATCGTGTGTTCGGTCACAGAGACGATAATGCGATTGGTGTCACCATCTTGAAACACCGACTTCGGTGGCTTGGACATGTTCTACGAATGTCGTCCCAGAGAATTCCTCGTCGTGCATTATTTGCCGACTCTGGGACTGGTTGGAAGAAGCGGAGAGGTGGTCAGTATATGACATGGTGTCGTGGTATGAAAGAAAGCTGCAAAGGGCTGGCTTGTGTTGGTCCTTCACGACTCCCTGGCTGGGGTCCGAGAGACGGTGTAACGCAGTGGCTAGAGACGTTATCAGATATGGCTAAGAATAGAAGCCAATGGCGATGCTGCTGTAACCTTGTTTTACTTTCTTCATAAAATGTGGTTGCTTCTTCCTTAACTGAAAGATATCTTCTGATTGTACCTTTCTGTTTTCCCCATCATTGTTCTCTCCCTCTTTTTTTTATAATTCTCCACGTTCATTACCTCATATATATATATATATATATATATTCTCCTTCTCTTCAAACTATCATTGTTTTGTGTGGCGCATATATATTTGGTGCCCCCCTGTACCAATATTTATGGGTTCAAATAAATAAATAAAAAAAGCCCCCAAATGCCCTGGTACGGCTGAGAGTGGGGAGAGTCCGCTCTCCCTCTCGAAATGCTCTCACATGGCCACGCGTATATAGCCCCTGCCAGGGAAGTCCTACTCACTGCCTTCTCGTGGCGGGGGTGTTGTTTACAAAAATGAGAGGACGAAAAGCGAATGTCCGGCGCTTTAACCGGATCCCAAACCAATGGTGTACATGGATTGGCTCCAGTATCCTGCAAGAAGAAATGGCGTACGAACCAGTCGTTGGTCGTTCGCTACCATGGGACTGCATCTCCTTACGATGCTCCACTGCCTTGTGAATCAGACGTTCAGGTCGAAGGCTCGGAGTGTGGCCCCCTAAGAAAACCACCTGCTTCGGTTTGGGCACCCGGTCAGTATCACAGCCCTCACACAAATCAATTGAGATTTGTGTGGCGCATATGTATTTGGTGCCTCTCTGTACCTATACTTATGTGTTAAAATAAAATAAAATAAATATAAACCAATCTAACGTGTGACTGGAATTTTGATATAATAATGAAGGAATTAAAAAGTTTGGCGACATTCCATAATAGTTACATGATAATACGATACTTAGCAATATACTAGATTATGCGACCCAGTTTTATTTATTTATTTGAACATATAGGTATTGGTATAAGAAGGCACCAAATACATATGCGCCATACAGATCTCACTTGATATGTGTGAGGGATGTGATACTGCTCAGGTGCCCAAACCGAAGCAAGTGGCTTTCTTAGGGGGCCACATCCCGAGCCTTCGACCTGAGCGTCTGATCCACCACAAGACAGTCGAGCATCGTAAGGCGATGCAGTCCCATGGTAGCCAATAACCAACGATTGGTTCGTACGCCATTTGTTCTTGCAGGATACTGGAACTAACCCATCTACACCATTGGTTTGTGATGCGGTTAAAGCGCCGGACATTCACTTTTCGTCCTCTCATTTTCGTAAACACCAGTAATGCCACGAGAATGCAGTGAGTAGGACTTCCCTAGCAGATGCTATATACTTGTGGCCATGTGATAGCATTTGGAGAGGGAGAGCGACCTCTCCCCACTCTCAACCGTACCAAACCATTTGGGGGCCAGTACAAGAGTATGTATTCGCTCGACGTACTAATTAATAGATCAGCAGGTTAGATCATTGAAAATTTGACTGACGATTAAGAACTAAATTAGACTAGGCAATAGTTAATTGACACAATGAAATCCGATTAGAAATCAATCATAAATGGAATGAATAATACTATTCTATATTATCAGAGATTTCACGTAGTTGAATGTATCTATATTCCTTCATTGATTCGTTACATTTCTCTTTCACCGACATATTAAACTGATTCCCCTATTGTTTCATAAAGATCTAATGTTAATGAATATGTTATTATAGTTGATACAATTGGCATTTTAGATGTTATTCATTAGACTCTCTCGTTTCTATGTATTACTACCAATTTTGTTGTTGTTGTTATTGTTGTTGAAATAAATAGGTACTAAACAATATACTTGTCCAATTGATTTATGGTCAGTTGGTTGTATTTTTGCTGAATTCTTATTACAACGACCATTATTCCCTGGGAAAGGTGAAGTAGATGAATTAAATATTATTTTTCGTGATTTGGGTACACCAACAGAACGTATTTGGCCAGGTGTATCTCAATTGCCTGGAATTAAAAAATGTGTTTTTACTGAATATCCATATAATCAATTAAGACGAAGATTTACTGAAAAACAAATATCTGATCAAGGTTTTGATTTATTAAATAGGTCAGTTAAAAGCGATCATTTATTTTTTATCTAAATTATTAATGTATCTTAATGTTTAGTTGAAGAGATTTTGTAGGGATGAATCTGTTTTGTTTTTTTTTTTAGGTTTCATGTGTCACAAATTGATGTCAGTTGGGCCACTTTTAAAATTCAGTACACACAGAACAGCTATTTCGTCCTATTACATGTTTGTTTAGCTGTGAGCACTTACGACTCATATCAGGGATCGAATCCAGTGTAAGACAAGACAATAGGCAGGAGGCATTTATCATTTTTACGAGAAGTTACAAAGTATTTACTTGATACATGTACTCAGCTTTCAATCCATCCATTTACGTTTTCCGGTATGTTCAAAGGACCACACCCGGAACCTTTGACCTAGAGGTCTTATCCACAAGGTAGTGGAGCAAGTTCATGATATTCACTCTCATGGTAGCCGATGATGAATAATAGGTTCTCATATACCGTTTGTTCCCTCAGGATCGTGAAACCAGCCCATTTGCATCATTGGTTTGGAATGAGGGTTTTCCAACTCCCCTAGGTGGATCCTCCGTGTCTACCAACTCGGTTAGAGCGCCGGACATTCACTTATCACCCTTTCAATTTCGTAAACAAAAGTAATGCCGTGAGAAGGCAGTGAGTAGGTGTTCCGTGGCAGTGGCTGTATACGCGTAGCCATGTGAGAGCATGGACTCTCCCCACCCTCAGTCGTACCAGGGCATTCGGGGCTGTGCAAACTATGCAACTTAAATTTCAGTCGGTTCGCGATATCAAGCGATGATCATTCAATCCTATTTATGATAACTGTTTCACTCCCTTTATGCTTGAGCTCCACGCATCATGACTTCATGCTAGATCTTCAGAATCATCTTGAAGTAGGTCACTAGTAATCTAACTTTTTATAAGCTTAGTGAAGATCCTCGGTGCATAGTTGCAGAGTAACACGTACTAACCGCCATTGATAAATTCAACACTGTAGTATCAATCTATACTAACAAATATTTAAGAATGATATGAATTGACTGTGAAGTGTTTGTCTATTTTTCAATCATATTCAAATACTAATGTAATTGATATGATATAAGGTACTTGAAATAGTTAGATATAAATTTAAATCTAAGACGTTTTTGATCTCATTTGTAACAGATATGTCTTTTAGGTTGAAGTTATTTGAAAAGTTCTTATAGATGATTGATTTCTTTAATATTTATTGTCTTTACAGCTTCCTTACATATTGTCCAGATAAACGAATTACCGCAGAAAAAGCACTTGTTCATCCATATTTCAACGAACGTCCTCGTGCTATCCATCCATCAATGTTTCCAAGTTGGCCAGCAAAATCTGAAGGTGGTGTTGCAGTGAAAAGAGCATCACCTAGAGCACCTGCTGGCGGTGGTGCTTTGGCAGCGGCTGCAGCTGCTGTTGCTGCTGCCGCAGCAGCAGCAGCATCATCATTGGCTACAACAAGTGGTAGTCGTGTAAGGTATCAACCTCCGGCGCCTCCTATGGGAGGTCAAAGGTTTTATAGCAATATGTCTGATTCACGTCCAGGTACAGCAAATCAAGGATCAGGTGATGCTTTTACTACTAGTGGTGTAGATAAAGGATTCTTATTGCGTTTTTGAACTGTTTCTGTTGTTAGAATTTCACATATCTTCTCTTTCCATCCCTCGCTTCATCTCTCTCTCATAGATCCAATTCCTTGTACAGAAAAGACTTAACTCTCCTGCTTTTGGATTGTAACTTGTTCTTAAAAACATGTATATGTATTGTATTAAAAAAGAAAACTTATTTTGCCATTTACTGTTTTCTTTTATTAACTAACTACTTTTGTTTGAGTGGTATCATGTTATGTTATGGGTTATTACGAATTGTGTTATAGAACTCCGGATAAATTTTGTTGTGTATTGGTGTTTCTATCGTATATATTGACGAGTGTAGATAATCCATTTTATTTAGCCCAATTTTCTATACAATAATCATCCCTATCATGTGTAGGAACTCTTCATTTAAAGTGGTCTGATTAAAACATTTAAGCTATCTGTTCTCCCAGTCTTGAAATTTTTCTGTTAAAGATATTCATAGGTTAGTAGTGTTTGATCATAGGTACTTTCAAAACATTGCTTGGGTTTATTTGGACAACTTAGTGAACAGTGCTGATATTAGACTCAGATTACTGAGTCAAGCTGATAATTCGATTGATGTGGTAATGATTCTCCATCGACATATATTAGGTATTCCTGATCATCATCGTTTATCTCGGCTGGCGATGTATACTAGTGTAAAAGTAGGTTAAAAAAGGTTATCAGCGCTGCATCAAGAAGTGTGTTCAATCCGTGAAGTCCGTATCTGACAGATTAATCCTTCCGAATAGTTACATGCTACGTGATAAGGGTCCTTTCGATTAATCGTTGGATACTTTGGGTGAAATGACTGCAAAGCGTTCTTAATGGTGCAAATAGATTTAATCTTTGTCTTAAAATAGGTATATTATTACATCGCAGATGTATTCCTAAATCGATACACATTTCACGTATTCTATGTTTTTGACTGATTTAAATTGACCAATATATTGTCCATTGTTCTTTTATGGAAACCATTGCAATTGCTTAATACTAAGTAATCTCAGCTCAGCTTTATTTTATTTTAACACATAGATATTGGTACAAGGAGGCACCAAATAAATATACGCCACACAGACCTCATTTGATATGTGTGTGGGCTGTGATACTGACCGGGTGCCCAAACCGAATCAGGTGGTTTTCTTAGGAGGCCACACCCGGAGCCTTCAACCTGAAGATCTGATCCACCACAAGGCAGTGGAGCATCGTAAGGAGATGCAGTTCCATGGTAGCCGGTGACCAACGACTGGTTCATATGCCATTTGTTCGTTCAGGATACTGGAGCCAGTCCATGTGCACCATTGGTTTGGGATGCGGGTCTGGGCACCCGGGTAGTATCTCAGCACATACACTAAAAAAAGTGTGGCGCATATATATTTGGTGCCCCCTTGTACCAATATTTATGTGTTCAAATAAATAAATAGTAAATAAAAGCGCCAGACATTCGCTTTTCGTCCTCTCATTTCTGTAAACAACACGCCCGCAGTGAGTAGGACTTCGCTGGCAGAGGCTATATACGCGTGGCCATGTGAGAGCATTTCGAGAGGGAGAGCGGACTCTCCTCACTCTCGGCCATACCAGGGCATTTGGGGATTGAGCTTCCAGTGGTTGTTATATTTCCTACCTCGTTTGTCTGAACCGTGTTAGTAAGCATATTGTTTGTTGTAGGTATCAAGTTATAAAGATTATTGAATTTCATTGAAATCCTGAACCGACCTAAGTTAGACCACCTGAGAACACTGCATGTCTGTTTTTTTCGTAATATACAGCTCCTCAACAGTGCTAATCTATGATCCCTTACGCTTCCAGCTTTTTAATGGTGGCCTTAGATCGGTTCAACTTTTCAATGATATTGTCTTTTATTATGTTAACTAACTATTCCTATGAGCACAAGTGTGACAAGGGGACAGTATTCATCAACATAGAGTTCTGCGTCCAGTTTGTACAAGTTGATATTCATCAGCATGGTATATCTACGATTTGGAGCCAACAACAACAACAACATTTTTCCCTAGTGTTTTTATTCATGATATATACATCTATTCTCCTTTTTGTTTCAGGAGTTACCTCATCTGTTTTTCACATTTAACTGTTACTTGGTCGATGATCAGTGATTATCATATGTATGGATGGAATCATTATATCCTAGTTATTTGAAACGATGACATTGTTTTATACATCACATTCATCACTATTATCATCTTCATCTACATAGTTATTACATAAGTCAATACCACCACCACCACCAACAACAACAACATCATCATCATCATCATCATCATCCTCTTGGATACAATCAATAATGATCTTATCTGATGATGATCTGAATTTCACTTTTGATGAAATACAAAAAGAATTAACTAATTTAGGTGTAATTGGTTTAAGTAAACAACAATTAATTCATTTAAAAAATGATTTAGATTTATTAATTAATAAAGAGAAATATTCATTACATCATTTCAATCAACAACAACAACAACAGCAGCAGCAGCAGCAACAACAACCATCTCAATCATTAACAACTAATGGTAATTCTATGAATAATAATAATAACAATGATGATGATGATGATGATGATATTTATCAACAAATTGATGATCATTCTAAGAGAATTGTATCGTATCCATCGAAATCTCCTGTCGTTTCCTCTTCTTGTTCTTGTTCTTGTTCTTCTTCTCCTCCTCCTCCATCATCGTCATCATCATCATGTTTTTCTTTGACATCTGAGGACTTTACACATTATAATAATACAAACAATCATGATTGTCATAGCATGAATAATCAATTAAAGAAATTCAATGATTCAATGAAGGTAAGTAATTGTATACAATTTGTTTAGTTCACTTTCATTAAATACATTTGATGTTAAGTACAATACATCGCTGTGACCTAAGGTAAATACCACTAAGCCAGTGTATATGCAGTCCAACATGAAGCTAAATGTATGCATTATTTAACCATTGTAGTCTAGGATAAATATCATTAAGCCAGTGTACATGCAATCCAGCATGAAGTGAAGTGCATGGTTTATTTAACCACTGAAGTCTAGGGTAAATATCATTAAGCCAGTTTACATACAGTTCAATACGAAGCTAAGTACATACTTTATTATATAATTTTGAGTCATGATAATGATCCTTCCACAGGTGTTCACCTAAGAAAACCTTTTTACAACTTTTACTTCCTCTAAATAGTCAAATTACGTCATCTCAGCAACACTTGAGCGGCAAAGCCACTATGACAACACAAATCCAACGACTCTACTAAACCATTTAATCGATAGTAACGACGGGCGGTGTGTGTGTGTGCTTGTAAAATTTAATAGTTACTCATAATTAAATTGTGTAATTCTATTGTAATCAGTTCAACTTATACACTGAAATGTTCAATAATACAACAGTGTTCCGACTTTGATAAATCTATATTCATACTTACTTACTTACTTACTTACTTACGCTTGTTACTCCTCGTGAAGGAGCATAGGCCGCTCGCCAACATTCTCCATCCAACCCTGTCCTGGGCAATCCTTTCCAGCTGTTATTCATCGTTTTCATATCCGCTTCTATTTCCCGACGTAATGTGTTCTTTGACCTTCCTCTTTTCCGCTTCCTTTCAGGATTCCAAGTTAGAGCTTACCTCGTGGTGCAGTTTGATGATTTACGTAATGTATGTTCTATCCATTTCCATCCTCTTTTCTTAATTTACTCGTCAGCTGGAAGCTGGTTTGTTCTCTCCCACAGTAGGCTGTTGTTGATGGTATCCGGCCAATGGATGTTGAATATCTTGCGTAGACAACTATTTATAAATACTTGTACCTTCTTGATGATGGTTGTTGTAGTTGTCCACGTTTCTGCTCCGTACGTTGGTATTGAAGATTCTGACTTTGATATTGGTCGAAAGTTGTTTTGAGTTCCATATGTTCTTCAATTGAAAGAATGCGGCCCTTGCTTTGTCAATCCTCGCCTTTACATCTGCATCTGAACCTCCTTGTTTATCGATGATGCTTCCCAGGTACGTGAAGGATTCTACATCTTCCAGAGTTTCTCCATCAAGAGTGATTGGATCGCTGTTCTCCGTGTTGTATTTGAGGACCTTGGTTTTCCCCTTGTGTATGTTGAGGCCTACTGATGCAGAGACTGCTGCTACGCTGGCTGTCTTTATCTGAATTTGTTCGTGTGTATGCGATAGTAGGGTTAGGTCATCTGCGAAGTCCATACCGTCTAATTGGTTCTGAGCTGTTCATTGTATGCCGTGTTTTCCCTCAGATGTTGAGGTCTTCATAATCCAGTTGACCACCAGTAGAACGAGAAAGGTAGAGAGTAGACAGCCCTGTCTTACTCCGGTCCTTACTTGGAATGCATCTGTCAGCTGTCCTCCATGCACTACTTTGCACTGTAGTCCGTCGTATGAGTTCCGGATAATATTGACAATCTTCTCAGGAACTCCGTAGTGTCGAAGAAGTTTCCATAACGTTCTCCTATCTACACTGTCAAATGCCTTTTCATAATCAATGAAGTTGATGTACAGTGACGAGTTCTACTCAATTGATTGTTCGACGATGATCCGTAGTGTGGCAATTTGGTCTGTGCAAATCTATATTCATAGTCTACTTCAAGTTGATTGAAGGTTGAGAAAAGATCTATGAAGAATGGAAAAACCCATCTAATCCAGTGTATTAGAAAACACCTCTTTTTCAATCTCAACGGATGAGTATATATATTTCTGAATAATACTTGGAAATATCTCTGAATATCAAGTTATTATCAAAAGGAAATTTATATCAATCATTGTGACTATTTCACTTCATTCATATATTAATCCTATTCTACTATTGTATGGTTCTTTTTCTTTTCAAGACCATAAAGGAGATTAAGTATGCGAAACATACTTGTACTCAACTAATTATCAAACTTTTTACTGTCAATTATTTTATAACACTTCATGTGAAATGCTTAGAAGTAGTGTAAGTATGTACATGGAGTCTTGTTTGTGGAGAGATGTATATATATTTCTTTCATTGTTCTTCTGGACGATATCATCAGCACAATCTTCAGATAGAAGTGAAGTGTTCGAATTTCTCCATATGTGGTTCACAACTTGTCCTGTACATCTCAGCCCCCAAATGCCCTGGTACGGCCGAGAGTGTGGAGAGTCCGCTCTCCCTCGAAAAATGCTCTCACATGGACACGCGTATATAGCCTCTACCAGGGAAGTCCTACTCGCTGCCTTCTCACAACAGGGGTGTTGTTTACGAAAATGAGAGGATGAAAAGCGAATGTCCGGCGCTATAACCGGATCCCAAACCAATGGTGTACATGGACTGGCTCCAGTATCCTGCAAGAAGAAATGGCGTACGAACCAGTCGTTGGTCGTTGGCTACCATGGGACTACATCTCCTCACGATGCTCTACTGCCTTGTGGATGAGACGTTCAGGTCGAAGGGTCGGGGTGTGGCCCCCTGAGAAAACCAACTGCTTCAGTTTGGGCACCCGGTTAGTATCACAGCCCACACATATATCAAATGAGGTCTGTGTGGCGTATATTTATTTGGTGCCTCCTTGTACCAATATCTATGTGTTAAAATAAAAAAATAAAAAGAAACGTGTACACCTCGATATTGATTAGTTCTTGTTGAACTGAAACCCATCAACAAGAACCAATCAACATCGAGGTCTACAGGACTTATCCTGTGAACCATATGTGTAGAAGCTCAAACACTTCACTTCTACCTGAAGTTTGTGCTGATAATGTCGTTCAGAAGAACAATGAAAGCTCCACGACCAAACTATCCAACTCAAAGAACAAAACTTCATTAAAATCATCTACCTGAGCTACAAATCTTTTTCACCATTTCAAATATATTACTCTCTTCAATGTTCGAAAAAGGTACTTTTAATACAATAATCAAGAAGTTTACTAATAAGCTCTTGTTCAAGATACGTTCTCTTAGGTTGGTTATTTCATTCGTTCATATTTTGCCAATGAGAAAAAAGTCTAAAATTGAATGAACTGGATTGTCATATGTTGGTCAATGCATATCATTCATTCGTAGCCTAATCTACGAGTTCTATTGAGAAAACTTACATACTACTTCTTTTCAATGTGTTCAGTTGCTTCGAAATTGCGATGTATTGTGTTGCCATCGATTCACTTTGACCAATCAACATGTAAATTGTTATGTAATATGGAATTGAATATAATTTACGGAATATATATAATCAAGCAATCAGTACGTGCATATGTGTGTGTGTGTAATTATATTGAATGTGAACTGATTCACAACTTGAGTTATCTTAGAAGTTTGATCAATCCTAATAGGTTGGTATCTGACGACGAAATCTTTGCATGGATTCAAAAAGTTCGTTTGGCTTTTTTCAATTTATGTCACCTCTTGCAAAGGCGAGACATCCGTCTATCAATTAAGGGAAGAACATACTGTGCGGCAGTTCGTTCTGTTTTACTTTACGGCTGCAAAATGTGGCCATTAAGAGAAGAAGATATTCGTAAGTTACTAGTATTTGACTACAAGTGGCTTATAAATATTGCCAGCATATGCTAGGATCAGCGGGTAAGTAATAGTGAGGTTAGACGTAGGGTACTAGGGAATGATGGTTAACAAGTTGATGAGGTTGTGAATCTTCATCGAATGAGATGGTTGGACCACGTGTTACGTATACCTGAACATTGATTACCACGATGCACAATACTGACTAGTATTTGAGACGGTTGGAAGAAAGTTAGAGGCGGCCAAACCAAATCGTGGCATCAGTTTTTGAAGTCACTAACTTCTGGTCTGAGCCATGTTGGTAGATTCATACTATTTGGTTGGGGTCTGTGTGACATGACTCAGGATTGATGACAACGGCGTTGGTGTATACCCTCTTTGTCTTCCGTTAAACAGTGAGAGTATAATTACTTTATATCTTTCTATGAACTAATTCTTTCTTCCTGTACTATATCCTTATATCCTTATACACAATCTTATATACATTACTACCATTGAAGTAACTGGTTCTATGAATTTGGTGTTCATGTTGTTGTGCTAATGAAGCGTGGCAATTTATACCTATACATTTATGTGCCTAGTCCTACATTATAGCTTACTGCTTGTAATCTTTACAAAAGTAGATAATCTACTGATTATCTAAATTACAGGCTTTATTAGTAGATATGTGTATCGTGCTCGTTAGTTTCGATTCTTTTTTTGTTTATTCATGTGACAGTGTAAATCTGATGATAGTTCTGTATCGAATGTCATACAATTATCACCTAAACATCATCATGAACATGATCATTGTCTACAACAGAAACCATATTCTTCAACTGATTCACAAATAACAGTCTGTTTTTCAACAACTAATGAGGCAATGAATAATCTTGACACTACATCGATCTCATCGTCATTATCATCAACAACTCTATTACTGAATGAACCTGACAGTCATTTTGAAGAGAAACAACAGAAACGTAATCGCCATCACCATCACCAACAACACCACCACCAACGTCAACAGCAAAAACAAACCGTTCAGTCTGGGAATGAATTGACCTGTAGTAAACAATCTGTAAATTTTAAATATTCTGATGCTAATGGACAACTTATTCATTCTGAATCTTCTATGAAAAATCTTGACTTCGAACACCGTCTAAATAATGAATCAATATGTACACCAATGAAAATGAAAACATTGTCATCAACGGACAAAAACTACTGTCACCCGAAGTCTGTTTCTAAAGATTCGTCTAAACAGTTGAGAAGATCGTCTGTATGTTTTCATCACCAACATCAACAGGCACGTGATTCTCATCAATATTTGCATGATGATCAAGAAATTCCGGATAAATTACATGGAAAATGTGATTCGATTATTGAAAAGGTCAATACACATACTACAACAAATGCAGATCAACACAATTTTCGTAATAATAAGTTGTTAGTATCGAATAATAAATTGGGAAAGACATTAGGATGTAATAAAATTGATGATGTTCTAAGTTCTATTAATTGTGAACGCCAAAAGTCGACTACTACTACTACCACGACGAATTCTTCAAGAAGATCGGCTCGATTTCTAGATAATCCTGTTGAACAAGTTCATAGTGTACCACAACAACAACGACGACCTAAATCTGCACAATATTGTCAAAAACGAGATGATTGTTGTTGTTGTTGTTATAATGCTCGATCATTACATTCTCAGAATTTACAAGTATGTATCCCAATTTCTGTTCATGATTATCCCTTTACTGTATTATATATTTATTTTGATATAAGCTATTCATAAGATGAGCTGCTTTCAATTATTGAGTATCTGATCAACCCTAATGATACGTTATTTGATATTTTGTTGATTCTGCCGTGATAATATCTTGCAAATCAGGTTTATGTGCATTCTTATATCGTTACAACTGAAGGAGAGATAAAGTTTTAAGTTCCTATCTGACACTATTAATTATTGATGTAAAAATTGTATATCTTTTAGTTGCTACCTTAAAGCCCCCAAATGCCCTGGTACGGCCGAGAGTGGGGAGAATCCACTCTCCCTCTCAAAATGCTCTCACATGGCCACGCGTATGTAGACTCTGACAGGGAAGTTTTACTCACTGTCTTCTCGTGGCTGGGGTGTGTTTTACGAAAATGAGAAGACGGAATAGCCAATGTCCGACGCTTTAACCAGATTGGTGGACACAGAGAGTTTATCTAGGTGAGTTGGATAACCGTGATTCCAAACCAATCATGCACATGAGCTGGCTCCAGGATCCTGAAGGAACAAATTGCATATGAACCAATTATTGGTCACCGGTCACAATGGGACTGCATCTCCTTACGTTGCTCCACTGCCTTGTGGACTAGACCTTTAGGTGAAGGGCTCTTGGTGTAGACCCCCGAGAAAACCACCTACTTAGATTTGGCCATCCAAGTAGTATTCTAGCCCTCACACAAATGGAATGATTCATGTGTCGCAGATCTATTTGTTGCCTTCTTGTACCAATGTTTATATGTTTAAATAGATAAATACCTTAATGAATTTTGAACTTGTCTCTTTACTAGTAAAAATTCATGTTACAAAATCTACTCTAATTTGTTAACAGTTAGATATTCTTATAAACTGTCAACAGTTATGGCTTGTTCATGAAGATCTTCGTTTCTCTACGGTTACTAAATTTTTGTTAATCAATATGAATTCGGTGGTATTTTTTTGATCTATCTAGCGACCGGTATCAGCTAATGCACATAGACCAAAACAAGATCCAGTTACAAAATATCATTCATATCAACGAAGCTGGTCGATACATTCTACACCCGGTGAAAATGCACGACGTGTTCTACGTTGGAATATAAGAACAGCAATGATGCATAGAGAAATACCATTATTACAACGTAACTCATCGGAAGTGATTCGCCTTTTAGGTCCATATGCATCAGCTTATTTGGAACAAGAAAGACAGAGACGAATTAAAGCTTTAAAAGTATGTTTAATGTTTTTACTACTATCGAACGAGGCAATATAACTTTATGCTCTTCCTTGCCTATACTATATAACTAACTAACTGTTTCACACTTCATTGCACCAAGTGCAATGAAGAAGAAAAATATACTGAACTGTAGGTATATTCTAAAACTAAATTTCAGATTGCTATGTTTGAAGTGATTACGAGTTCACCTAGTCTACGAACGGAACAAAGACTCTGTGATCAAAGACCAATAAGCTAACTATTCTGATGCTTCCCAGTCCCACTAACTAGAGAGAAAAGTTCAAGTTCGAGACGGGGAAATATATTCCACAAACGGCCACAAGCGCTAGTATTAACACCAGGTACAAATCAAACGTATATATGTAGCACAAAATTGTCCTTGGGAAAGATTACAAAATAACATACTAAAGATACAACGAACCAATAGCGTTTAAAATTCTCCCAAGTGGGTAATACAACATGAAAGTTAAAAATGAGCGCTTTTGGCGCGAAAAAGTATTTACAAAGTTATTTCTGAGGGATATAACATCCACAACATAGATTGAATCCATCAGTCAATCAGTCAGTAACAACGTGGGACTTCGTATGTACGTACATCACTTCGAGTAGCCATATCACATTACCACACTGATACAATTATCGATTCAAATCCCATAGTGGTAGAAGTAGTCAATGTATAAACAGTAATCGGAAACATTAGGGTTTGAAAATGTTATTGAAGAAGTATAATTCAGTAGAATAAAGTTGGAAAGAGCAAAAAGGGACATGAATGATTCAGAAGATTAGAATTTGTGAGAACACAGAGAGTGGATGCACCTGCACACACCATTGCAAACGATTTTGAGCCATGTCATTCAAGGTCTCTAAACATCGGTTGCTATCGTCTCGTGGATCCCAACCAGTTAGTCTACACCTACCAATATAGCTCAGTTCACTTGTCAGTGACTTCATGGATTTCTGCTATGTTTTGGTCTGGCCGCCCTTAGCTTTCTTCCAACCTACTCCTACACCATAAAACATCGCACGTCGGGACAGTCGTTGGTCTGGCATGCGCAACACATGTTGCCCCCAAATGCCCTGGTATGGCCGAGAGTGGGCATAGTCCGCTCTCCCTCTCGAAATGCTCTCACATGGCCACGTGTATACAGCCTCTGCCAGGGAAGTCCTACTCACTGCCTTCTCGTCGCGGGGGTGTTGTTTACAAAAATGAGAGGACGAAAAGCGAATGTCCGGCGCTTTAACCGAATCCCAAACCAATGGTGTATATGGGTTGGCTCCAGTATCCTGCGGGAACAAATGGCGTATGAACCAATCGTTGGTCACCGGCTACCATGAGACTGCATGTCCTCATGATGCTCCACTGCCTTGTAGGTCAGACATTCAGGTCGAAGGCTCGGAGTGTGGCCCCCTAAGAAAACCACCTGCTTTGATTTGGGCACCCGGTCAGTATCACAGCCCTCACATATATCAAATGAGATCTGTGTGGCGCATATGTATTTGGTGCCTTCTTGTACCGATATCTATGTGTTAAAAAAAAAATAATAACACATGTCGCAGCCATCTCAACTGATTAGGTTTCACTACTTCATCAATTGATTTGCCATCCTTACCTAGTACCCGTTTCCTAACAACATGTTGGAAGAATACTTCTTGAAGTATTCAAAACAAGAAATTAATCTATGAGTGTGATCTCAGTACTCATGGAACAGTTGTTTTATAAGTAGCTTTTGACATTTCAGCTTCACTCCTGACAACAGAAATCTCATCGATATCCAAGTATTGTTGAATTTGTAAGCCTGACCATTATTTTAAAGTTGCGATTATGATTAGAAAGTGGCGAGAGTTCACTCTCTTTCACCAAATGTTCTTACATGGCCATGTGCATACAACTAATGCCAGAAAAGTCCTACTCACTATATTTTTATGGCATTACTATTGTTTACGAAATTGAGAGAACAAAAAGTCAATGTTTGGTGTTTGGTAGATATAGTATATCTACGTGAACACCGATTATCACATTGCGCAATGCTAACCGTGGTTGAGGATGGTTGGAAGAAAGTTAGGGGCGGTCAAACCAAAACGTAACATTATTGCTTGAAGTCACTAACTTCTAGTCTGAGTCATGTTGGTAGATGCGGACTACTTGGTTGGGATCCGCGTGCCCATTGTAATCAATGGTAGGAGACTGTGGGTGACATGAGTCAGAATTGATCACAATGGCGTCGGTATATACCCTCTTTGTCTTCCCTTAAACTATGAGATTAAAATCGCTTCATATGTCTCTTTCTACGAACTAATTCTTTCTTTCTGTACTATGTCCCTATATACATTCTTTTATATATTACCACCATTGAAGTGACTACTTCTATGAATCAGGTGTTTATCTTGTTATGCCAATGAGTGATGTATGACAATTTGAACCGATGCATATATGTGCCTGGTCCTATGTTATAGCTGATTGACTTACCTAGAGGATTTGGAAAACCCTGATTCCAAATCAATGGTACACATGACCTATCTTCAATATCATAAAGGAACAAATAATGTATGAACTAAATATTGGTTACCGTTTACCATGAGATTTCATCTGCTAACTTTAACTTCACTACTTTATAGATCAGATCATTAGGTCGAAGGTTCCAGGTGTGAGACTTCTAGGCATCAGACCAGTATCCTAAACTGGCACACAACTATATTTAATAAATATCATCTTATTTATATTCATTTCATTTTTATCTTTCTCTATTTATAGCTTGATTATATTCCACCAACTAATAGACGTTATAATGAATTACGTCAAATGATTCGTTCATTAATGGGATAAATCGAATTCAATTCTATACATTATATCATCTTATTGAATAGATTTATTCTTGGTATTCTATTTCATCTATATCTTTCATAAAGATCTCTGTAATTCAACAAAAGGTTAATATCTTTTTCATTTGATGAATATGTCAGTCATATGTTTATATATCATATACTGGATATAATATATCAATCGCATTTATATTCTATGAGCCGGTGTTACTAATCATTATGGTTTATCTTTGATTCCCATTGGTTCAATTGTTCAGTTGTTTATTTAGGAAGAAGAAAAAGAAGAAAAGAAACAATAGTAAACACTGTTTTTTTGTTTTAATCAGTTGTTGAAACTACTACGTTGATATTTTGTACTTTTGTTTACATACCATTATTATATGTTCTATGTGATGGATGTTATGGAATGAATTGAGAAAGTGATCGTTGAAAGTTCATGTACTGTTATTGTTTGTTTGTTTTGTTAATATTGATATTGATATTGTATTGTAGTTTTGTTTTTCTTTTTTTTCTTTTTTTTGTTTCTTAGTTTTTTGTTGTTGTTGTTGTTGTTGTTAGTGTGTATGATGTTTTATGAAAAAGTTTTCTTTTTTTTTTTTTAACAGTGTAACTTGACAATTTTCACATGAGTAGATTGCTAAGTTTGAAACGGTTACAAGTTTATTTAGACTTTGAACGAGAACAATGAATTAGTGATGACCAAAAAATCAATAATAAGCTACCTATTTGATACGTCCCAATCCCGTTAACTAGAGGAAGAATTTGAAGCATAGAATGGGGGGATATATTCTGGAAACTACCAGAAACCAGCGATAACAACAAACACAAATCAAAACGTATATATATATACAGCAAATGATTGAATGAATGAGATAAAGAAGTTGTAAAGTTTAAAAATAAGTTGGTATATATGAGGTTCAGGGTAATATTGTCAGGGCATTCGGCTAGGGTTTATACACACAGCCATGGAACACTCTATATTTTACACACTCTATTCTCACCTCTCATATCCAAACTATTTGTCATCACAGCCATTCAGTGTGGTAATGTGATGGGGGAGACAAAAAGGAAGCAATAGCGATGTATACAGCGACCAAAATATGTTGCAATTGATAATGATGGTGTACAACAACAGCATCATCAGAAATGACACTGTAGTGGTCTCGAATTAACCCATATTGTAACATATCTGTTAACACACATGTGATGGTTTGTCCTGCTGAAAGTGTTGTTATTATGCTAGGTTTAAAGCGGTTACGAGTTTACTTAGACTGTGAATGGAACAAAGACTCAGTGACCAAAAACCAATAAGCTAGCTATTTGATGCGTCCCAATCCCGCTAACTAGAGGAAGAATTTGAAGCTTGAAATGGAAAAATATATTCTGGAAACTGCCAGAAGCACGAGCGATAACAACAAACACAAATCAATACGTATATATATACAGCACAAAACCGTCTTTGGGGAGAGTTACCAAATAGCATACTAAAAGACGCAACGGATCAATAGCATTTAAGATATTTCCGAAGTGGGAAATACCACATGAAGATGACAAGAGCGCTTTTGGTGCGAAAATAAAAAAAATTCAAATTTTCTAAATAAAACCACAAACGTAGGTCCTTTTTCCAAGTGAGTTCTGGGGTTCTAAGGTCTCTAACATAGATCATTTAAATGTTAACGTCTTGACTGTTCAATCAGTCAGCTACAACTTAGGATCAGGCATATATGTGCATCGGTCCAAGTTGCCATACCTGATTAGTACAACAAGATGAACATCGGATTCATAGAAGTAGTTACCTTGATGTATTTGTTGAACTTACATATCGTGATTACCCAATCTTGGTTTGTTGACTAATTGGTTGCAGAGTAATAAAATACCTAAAGCACCAAATTTGTGATTAGTGAGTTATGTCGTATTTTCAACGTGAGACAGTTCTCTCTTCAGCGAGACGGTAACGTTTCCAGCTTTTCAAAATCACTCCTAAATGATGTGCGGGTGAGAATGATCATGATTGATTGTCTGCTTAGTCAGACATGTAGACAGTCGGACAGGTGTCAGATAAGTTTTATATTCCCTTATCCTTATTATTGTGACACATACACTTAATATTGATTGTTCATTATTGTTAGATTTTGTCGGCTTTTGGATGTGAAAATATATTCACGTTGTGATCATAGTAATTACATGTTCTTGATTCACTGAATTGTGTTGAAGTCCTATAGAGAAAGAATAGACACTGAGAGGGAATCTAGTGTAGATAATTGTTTAATCGTTATAACATTAGATGAAGTAAATACCAAGCGTTATAACACTAAGCTAGTTTCATTTTCATTTCTTTTCGATGATATTGTCAAGTGAAAAGTGGCAATTGCCTACATACCTCCAATCTGTACGTATATCAAGATTTCAGTATTGATAAAAGAGCTTTGAAAGACGTTTTCTTCTGGAGAGGACAGTTAAAAACCAGATAAATATCAATAACAATTATGTATTAAATTAAAACTTCAAGAGATTATTACACTATTAACTTTATGTAGAACTGAACACCGATTACCGCGACGCGCAATGGTAACCGGTGTTAGGGATGACTGGAAGAAAGTTAGGGGCGGCCAAACCAAAACGTGGCATCAGTGCTTGAAGTCACTAACTTCTGGTCTGAGCCATGTTGGAAGATTCAGACTGCCTGGTTGGGGTCCGCGTGACTATCGTAACCAATGGTTGGAGACTCTTGTTGACATGGCTCAGAATCGATCACAATGGCGTCGGTGTATCCACTCTCTGTCTTCCTTTAAACTAAGAGATTAAAATCACTTCGAATCTTTCTTTCTAGGAACTAATTCTATCTTCCTGTACTATCTCCTTATACACAATCTTTCTTCTATATATTACTACCACTGAATTAACTACTTCTATGAATCCGGTGTTCATCTTGTTATGCCAATGAGTGAGGTATGGCAACTTGGACCAATGCATATACGTGCCTGGTCCTACGTTGCAGCTGACTGACTGAACTGAATTTAGTACATTTAAGCTTTGTTGTATGCACGATACTTTGATATCATACCCACAGGTCACGATACAATAAAACAGTCAATGATGATATTTCTCATATTTCATATTTGTGAACTTCATCGGTCATTGGTCTTTATCAAAAGTTTATCATTAGATATCAATTTAATAGGCTTAAAAGTACTACACTCGTTATATGATCTGAAGGTTCTATATTAAACAATACGTGGCAAGAGATGTTCAGATTATGAGGACATGTGTTACATATGCTCAATCATTGATTGCCCCGACGTGCGATGTTTCATAGTGTAGGAGTAGGTTGGAAGATAGTTAGGGGCGATCAGACCAAAACATGGCAGAAATCGATGAAGTCATTGACATGTGGACTGAGCCATGTTGGTAGGTATAGACTACCTGGTTGGAGTCTGCGAGATGATAACAACCGATGTTTAAAGATCTTGGGTGACATAGCTCAAAATCGTTTGCAATGGCACAGGTGCATCCACTCTCTGTGTTCTCTGAAACTCTAATCTTTTGAATTCTTCATGTCTTCTATTTTCTTTCTAAATCTATTCCACTGGATTATACTATTCGAATAACATCATCAAACTTTAATGTTCTCTATTACTACTCATACTTTAACTACTTCTACCACTATGGGATTTGAATTGACAATTGTATCAGTGTGGTAATGGGGTATGGCAACTCTAATTGATGTATGTACGTAAGTAAGTACGAGGTGCTACGTTGTTGCAGGCTGACTGACTGACTGACTATTCATCACTAATATATCAGTTGTCCCATGTTAAAAAACTTTAAAACTTAACGCTTTTGATAGTGGTAAACTCTTACTATTGAGTCAATACTGTTTACTGTTTGGTGTTTATGTTGTCTTTGTTCAGTATTTGGATAATATACGTTAATCTTTAGAATTATCGATATTTCTCTGTTTATGTTGATTATATCATCCTGATTATATAAGGGCATAAAGTGAATGTGTATTAATCCAAGTTGACACCACATTTCAGTCCAGCAAAATAGAAGAGGAAAATATAACAAGATGAATAATATAGAAGAAGAAGAAGAAGAAATATTTAATAGAAATAGGAATTTCATTAGTTGAGATCATATATCAATTTGAGGTTAGACTATTATGGTAAACCTAGAAACACTGGATGACCGTTTCGTCTTATTGTGGGACTCCTCAGTTGCAGTGCTCAACTACAACCCCGCTTCGCGTGGGATTCGAACCAAGGACCTGTCAGTCTCGTGCATAAACGCTTAACCACTAGACCGAGAATATTGTTTAAAAGAAATAAACGAATAAAGATAAAACAGTGAAAGATGATGCGTAGAATTCATCATGTAGGAGAAGAAGAAGATAGCGAATAGATATAAATACTCTACAATGAATATCACACAACATCTCTAACCACAAATGATGATCATTTATTGAGCATCATTTTTATTATTATTTATTTACGTCTGTTAGTCCTAATGAAGCATAAGCCGCCGACCAGCATTCTCCAACCCACTCCCTATCCTGGGCCTTCTTTTCTAGTTCCATCCATTTCTTGTTCATTTTTCTCATGTCTATCTTCATTTCCCGGCGTAATGTGTTCTTTGGTCTTCCTCTTCTCCTTCAGCCTTGAGGACTCCATGTGAGGACTTGTCTTGTGACGCAGTTCGGTGCTTTCCTCAATGTGTGTCCTATCCACTTCCAGTGCTTCTTCCTGATTTCTTCCTCTACTGGGATCTGATTTGTTCTCTCCCACAGTAGGTTGTTGCTAATAGTGTCCGGCCAACGGATGCGAAGTGTTTTGCGTAGACAACTGTTAATAAACACCTGTATCTTCTGGATGATGGATTTCATAGTTCTTCAAGTTTCCGCCCCATACAGTAGAACTTTGGTGTTGGTTGCCAATCGTTTTGAGTTTCATAAGTCCTTCAGCTGTAAATATGCTGCTCTTGCTTTGCCGATCCACGACTTCATATCTGCATCAGTTCTACCGTGTTCATCAATGATGCTGCCCAAATATGCAAAGGTTTTTACATCTTCCAAATCTTCTCCGTCGATTGTGATTGGATTGGTGAATATTGTGTTGTTTCAGAGAATCTTGCTTTATTCTTTGTACATGTTGAGATCTATTGCTGCTGCTACATTGGTCGTCTTGTCCTGCATTTATTGTTGCGTTTGCGATAGAAGAGCCAAATCATCTGCGAAATTTAGATCATCCAACTGCATCTTAGATATCCACTCTGACTAGAGTCTCTCTGAGGGCTACTACCACCGGTCCCAATCCCGGATAAAGGAGAAGGGTTAGGCATGGGGTTATCAACCTTATCCCATAGAAAAATAAACTCGCTAAAGAGTTGCTAACCAGAAAAAAGTATTATTCAAACTATTTTTTTTTTGTTGTTGAGCAGAATGACAACAATATATGATAATTAGATGATTGTTTATTGATTATCGATGATTACTCAAATCACTAATAACCTTCACTTCTTTTTTTAATTCAACAATAGATGATGCATTATCTGATATATAATATATAATAATATAAAATAATTATGAAATATCAATGTCCTTCTATATATACATATTTTGTTTGTTTGTTTGTTTTTTTTTCATTAAAAAGTTTATCTTACTAACTAATCATTTAAGTAGTTTTCACCGGATATCAAAATTTTAGAAAGTCAATTATATATTGAATAATAGTTATCTTGTATTCATATGAATTTTAATGTAATAATATCATATTCAAAGGATAAGGAAATAAGAAAAGTAATGTTACAATTACATATGTATATATTTGCATATATATATATTATATAAGCAATAATCATTCATAGAATGTTTCAGTCATGTAATGTACATGAAGGCGTTTCCATGTTAATGTTCATTATTAATAATTGAAATGATCTATCTTTTTGTTTATTATTTAGAAACAAGTATAAAATAATAAATCCGGTATTATGCCTCTATCAACACTACCATTTTCTAGACCATCCCAACTATCATGAAAATTAAATATAACCATTTCATTATGATTATGATTATCATTATGATTATTATTATTATTATTATTATTGAATACATATGAATTGTCATTCAAATGAGTAAATAAACTTGATTTATTGCTTTCTAATCGTTTCTTTCGAAGATTAGATGATGTTGATGTTGATGTTGATGTTGTTCTTGATGGTGTTGTTGGTGGCGGTGGTGGTGGTGGTGTCGGTGTTGGTGTTGTAGTAGCATTAGTAGTTGTTGTTATTGTTGTTGTAGAGGAGGATGGTGATGATGATTTCTTATTGTTATTGATTATTGTTTCATTATTATGTTTATTTATTGTTTCTTCTGATGGACAATGTATCATAATTTCGGTTCCACCATAGAAACCAATATATGATGTTGATGAATTAATTGCTGTAGATGATGTAGACATTGATGCTGAATTATGATCAGAATTTGATGTGCTTAAACATAAATAATATTTTTTATTTTTAACCAACTATAAATGAATTTGTTTTTTTTTTGGATGAAAAAAGAAAAAGAAAAATAAAAGAAGATAGAATTTGTCAATGTTAGTTTAATAGTTTCATAATGAAATTTACTTTGTATAGATTTACTTGAATCTTCCTATTGATGACTATGAGAACTTAGTAGCTGAATGGTGTTTGAAGCGAATGGTACTGGGTTCGAGTCCCAGAGTGAACATCACTGAAGACAATAATGGAAGGTGGCACAACTTTATGCATTGGTTGAAGTTAGACATGAACATCATTGGATACCAACTTAATGGTTTAGAAGTTAAGTGTTCACATGTAAGACTGATAGATCTTGAATTCGAATCTCATGAAATGGGATCATGAATGTACACTACCACTGAGGAGTCCCATTGTAAGACAAAATAACCATCCAATGCTTCCAGGTTTTCCATGATGATCTAGCTTCAATTGACTCATAAATTCAACTATTGTATTGAATAGATGTTTTATTATTATTTAATCAAATTGCATTTATCAGTTTAGGGGTTATGGAGATTGTCAAGTTTTTAATTGAGATCATGCACCGATTGATGTTAGACCACCATTGAAAACCTTGAAGTACTAGAAACAGGTGTCTACCTCAGTACAATGGAAGATGGTCGCTCAATCTCGTGGATTGGCTGAAGTAAGATAATAACACCGTTGGATGCTGGCTCAGCGTGCGACACTGAAGCCCTGGGTTCGAATCCCGCGAGCAGGGCCGTGGATGCGCACTACTGAAGAGTCCCACAATAGGACGAAACCGCCATCCAGTGCTTCCAGGTTTTCAATGGTGGTCTAACATCAATCGGTTCATGATCTCAATCAAATTACATTTCTCTATATATAAACTATTTATGATTCCTTTTGATTTGCTAAACATGAGCAATTCAGTTTAACGCATAGACAAATTTTTATGTGATTCCGTTAGTAACTAAAATGGGTACTTTAATGTAATTAAAACAAAAACGAAAACGAAAACGAAAAAAACACACACCCCGAATGATTTAATGTTCTTGAAGCTGGATCACATATTGAACAATTCAATGAATGTGTGTGTGTGTGATGCATTGTGTATTCAAGATATGAAATTGATTTATTTTTCTCAAAGTAGAATGTCTGTCTATAACTAAAGTTACCAGTTGTGTTTTACATCTAACGTCGACTAGTCTTTATTCATCTATGTAGTGTTATGATGACACTATACACCTATATGAGATGGTGGAGAAGATTTGTAGCTTAGATGGATGATTTTGATGATGTTTTGTTCTGTGAGCTGAATGGTTTAGTCATGGAGCTTTCATTGTTCTTCTGAACGACATCATCAGCACAAACTTCAGATAGAAGTGAAGTGTTTGAGCTTCTCCACATGTGATTCACAGTTTGTCCTGTAGACCAACAAGCTAAAAATCACATGTGAAGAAATCCGGACACTTCACTTCTATCTGAAGTTTGTGCTGATGATATCATTCAGAAGAACGATAAAATACTCCACGAATAAACCATCCAACTCAGAGAACAAAACTCCATGAAAATCTCACCAACATGATGAAAGTTGATTGTATTAATCAATAGGATGCTGACGGAGTGGTCGGAAGTTTAAGCGTTCACTTAGGGATTTGAAGGTATTAGGTAAGATTACTGGTAAGGTCGTGTGTGTGTATGTGTGTGTGCCCTATAGGATCAATAATGGTAGCTTGTTATTTTAGATATCTTTATAAACTTCCACTTCTTTTATTATGATGTCCTATCTAAAGTCTAATTCATCTGTAATTAGTAAATACCTTTATACAAAAACATGGTACACTGATTCTGTATGATTCTGATTTCATTATCAGAGATATTCTCTGAAGAAATAAAATTTTAATAGTTGAATTCATAAGTTAATTAAGGCTTGACCATCATAGAACACCTGGAAGCACAAGATAACCATTTTATTCTATTGTGGAACTCCTCTGTGATAGTACCTATCCAAAATCTTTCCTCTAGAGATTCGAACTTAGGATTTATCAGTTTTGCATATGAACGCTTATTCTGTGGACCATTGAGCTAGTTTATTTATTTATTCATTTTAACACATAGATATTGGTACAAGAAGGCACCAAATACATATGTGCCACACAAATCTCAATTGATATGTGTCAAGGCTGTGATACTGACCGGGTGCCCAAACCAATCCAGGTAGTTTTCTTTTGGTAGATACACCCCGAGCCTTCGACCTGAATGTCTGACCTATAAGGCAGTGGAGCATTATGAGAAGATGCAGTCCCATAGTAGCTGGTGATCAACGATTGGTACATACACCATTTGTTTCTTCAGGATACTGGAGCCAGTTCATATACACCATTAATTTGAGATCCGGTTAAAGCTGCCGGACATTCGCTTCTTCCTCTACCATAAAACTCCTACTCACTGCCTTCACTTAGCAAGGGGTGTTGTTTAACGAAAATGAAAGGATAAAAAAAAAGAAAAAAAGAAACTTTATTCCAGAATGGAAATAACATTTAATTACCTTAATTGGACATTTAAATCGTATATCATAAACACGATTAGTTCCATCAGATTTTAATGAAATTTGTTTATAAGCAAGACATTTTATAAAAGATTTTTTATTGAAATAATTTGATGAATGAATTGAATTATTTAATGAATCAATTTCATCTAATCTAGATAATCCTGTTATATCCCATATATTTAAATATCCATTACGATTAGGATTATGATTATGATGATTATGTAATAGACGTGTAGTTACATTTAAATTAGTTAGATCACTTGTACTTCTAGATGCTTGTGATGGATACATACGATCTGTTAATTGATGATTACCAATTTGGGTTATATTTGCTGGTGGTGATGATGATGATGATGGTGATGATGATGATGGTGATGATGATGATGATGATGATGGTAATGGTACATTACCATTTCCTGTTTTTAATTCAATATGAACTGTACGTATATCACCAACTTGTGTTGAACCATAAATTCCAACACCAGCAATAAATATTGATGTAGATACCTAAAATGTAGAAAAAATAAGATAGAAAACGAATGGGGGGAGGGAGAGAGAGAGAATGAATTAGTATATGTTTTTGGATATTATCCTATCTTCTTTGAAAGATAAAATATGATTAGTTAGTAAAGAGAATTTCAGTCGTGAACAGATCACTAAAATTGATGTTAATCTACATGAGAGTTTATGTTATGTTTTAAAATGTCCTGGTACCATTAAGGGTAGATAGTCAGTCAGTCAGTAACAACGTGGAACTTCGTATGTACGTGCCCCCAAACGCCCTGGTATGGCCGAGAGTGGGGAGAGTCCGCTCTCCCTCTCGAAATGCTCTCACATGGCCACGCGTATACAGCCCCTGCCAGGGAAGTCCTACTCACTGCCTTCTCGTGGCACAGGTGTTGTTTACGAAAATGAGAGGACGAAAAGTGAATGTCCGGCGCTATAACCGGATCCCAAACCAATGGTGCACATGGGCTCCAGTATCCTGCGGGAACAAATGGCGTATGAACCAATCGTTGGTCACCGGCTGGCTACCATGTGACTGCATCTCTTCACGATGCTCCACTGCCTTGTGGATCAGACGTTCAGGTCAAAGGCTCGGGGTGTGGCCCCCTAAGAAAACCACCTGCTTCGGTTTGGGCACCCGGGCAGTATCACAGCCCTCACACAAATCAAATGAGATTCGTGTGGCGCATATGTATTCGGTGCCTTCTTGTACCGATATCTATGTGTTAAAATAAATAAATAAATCGTATGTACGTACATCAGTTCGAGTTTCCATACCACATTAGCACAGAGATTCAGTTATCGATTCAAATCCCATCGGTTTATAGGTACTGAAAGTATAAGTAGAGATAGGGGACATTAAGGTTTGATGATGTTGTTAAAGGAGTATAGTCCAGTGGAATAAATTAGGAAAGAAAATAAAGGACATGAAGAATTCAGAAGATTAGAGTTTGAGAGAACACAAAAAGTGGATGCACCTGCGCCATTGCAAACGATTTTGAGCCATGTCATTCAAGGTCTCTAACCATCGGTTGCTATCATCTCGCAGATCCCAACTAGATAGTATACACCTACCAACACGGCTCAGTCCACTTGTCCGTAGTGACTTCATGGATTTATGCCATGTTTTGGTAGATAGAATAAGCACTCTCTCTCGAAGTGCTCTCACGAAGCCACGTGTATACATTCACTGCCATGGAAGTCCTACTTACTGTCTTCTCGTGGCGGTGGTATTGTTTAAGAAATTGAGAGGATGAAAAGCAAATATTCGGCACTCTGGCCGGGTTGGTAGACACGGAGTTGGAAAGCCTTAATTCCAAAACAATGGTGCACATGGTCTAACTACAGTATACTTCGAGAAAAACTGGCGTATGAACCATGGGACTTGTTGTATATTGAGGGGCCGCCGAGTAAAGGACGGTGAGGGCAGTGATTTATCGATCAGATCAAGGATATGTAAAACACATGCGAGCGGTCTAGAGTTCTGATTGGTCATACTTTCCGACTAGTCCAATTAGTTAAGTCCAGAACACCAATCTCACCCTCTGCAATATGAATCATTATATTTCAAGCATACTGGGTTTATATACACCAACCAGACAGATGTACATGTTCTAGCCCAGAAGTGGCTGTGAATATGGGAAGCAGTGACTAATCGACAGGGCATAATTCAAGAATGGTAAATCCCATAATAATAGTTAATGGGTCAAAATAAAGCTTATAATAAGAGGAATATGAATAGTTATTTAACAATTATGCGATAAGAATATACACATAGTTTTGATCCATAAATGGATCGTAACAGTTACCATTCATTATTCTTGTCGAGACATAGCAGGACTGTATCTGTTGCCGTTACTACATTACCTTGTGGATCAGACTTTTAGGTTGAAGGCTCCGAGTATAATCCACTATGAAAACAAGCTATGTCAGTCTGGGCACCCGGGATGTATCACAGCTCATAATCGAATGAAGTGAATTGTGTGGCTTATACGTATTCGGTACCCCTCTTTGTACCAATATTTGTGTTTAAATAAATATATATAATATGCGAAATTATGATTATGTGATTTGCGTATAGAAAATAAGAAAGTTTTCAAACGCTTGTATTCAAGAATTAATTATTCCTTATAAATTTTTTTAAGGGGGTTAGGGTCGCTAGCCCCATGATCAAAACTCCTTTGTCCGGGATTGGGACCGTCAGTAACCCCAGAGGGGCTACAGGCGAAGTAAGTAAGCATGAACCTATGTAACTCAATTTATTTGATCAATGAAATTGTGTAGATCAAACAATGCTTACTAATCATGTAAATTAACTCTTTAGGTAATATAAGAACGAGTATACCTTATGATGGATACTTGATACATATCGATGATTCAGCATTATGATAAGAGTGAGATCATGAATCGATTTGTGTTAGACCATCATTGAAAAGCTGAGACCACTAGACAGGCATTTTATCTTATTACGGGACTCCTCAGCAGTGCATATCTACGATCACACTTGCAGAATCTAAATCCAGGACCTTCAGTCTAGAGCGCGAACAATCAGCCTCTAAATCACTGATCCGGCATCCAATGGTTTTAATATCTAACCTCAACCAATCCACGAAATCACGTGACCATCTTCCATAATAGGACAAATTGGCCTTCCAGTGCTTTCAGGTTTTCAATAATGTTCTAATATCAATCGATTCATGATCTCAAACAAAAGCTTAATAATGTTTACAATCCTATAACGATAATCATGATAAGAGATTATTATGCTTAAGTATGTAGGTTGAGTCAATGGTTCTATGTTTTGTTACTACCCTGTATATTGTTAATTATTTATCAATGGTCTAATGATAGCCTACATAATATCCTGATAATTGACATGTTTGAATTCGATAACTGATGAGTGTGTGTATGTGTGTGTTGTAGTTCCTGTAAGAGGTACCATAATGGTACAAGATAACTTCTTAGTGCTGAGTGGATTTCAATGGCTTCTAGATTATGTAATGAAAATCATATAAAATATTACATATTATTACTTATATTCTACTTTTAACTGAATATGAGAGTATTCTGTTAAACATATTGCTTCATTCTAAATTTAAAAAACGTTTAATTGACAGTACTATTTAACACCAGACTTTCATTCCGATTGCAGCGAATAAGAACCCAAATAGGGACAATTGAATGTATTCGAACACACATACACATTACAGAACGTCTTAGTAAAATCTGTGAACCATATAGTAAATACTTCAATTGCAATATGTCAATCAATCGTCTCAGATTTGATTGTTCTTTCGTTTTCACACCAATCATTCTTTGTTCTCGTTCTCTTTTCTTCGATCTTATTAACCTTCCGCCTGAAGGCATTTCACTTTCGATTGATGATGATACATACTACTTGTATCTGTCGACATCGGTAGCACACACCACACTATTATCATTCACATTTGTAAACACTGAAGTACTATTAGAGATATTAGGGCGATTATCACTCCCCTGTTGCCTACACCGTGAAAGGGTTCTTCTGGAGGTACAGGAAAAGGAAATTGTAATAAAGGTGGTCTTGTGGTGTTTGCTACTTATGTAGACATAAGTAGTATATGATGTTAGTTGTGAACAGAATGTCTGGCAGCAAAGAGACAGGAAAATCGTACAGTAGAGAATGAAGACAGAATGCAATTTGTATGAAAATGCAAGAACAAAGGAATTCTGAGACAATTGATGGACATTTTGCAAATTGAGCATTTACTATATGGTTGTTACATTTTATTAACAAGTACTGTAATCTATTGTCAAATACATTCGTTTGTCCTTATTGGTGTTCTTGTTCACTACAATCTTAGTGACCTGCGAGTGTGACAGCAGTACACAACGGAGAACTGCATGAGTCCGGTTACATACGACCTTTTTGTGAGTAATTTTCGTGTTACCTACTTACTTTTCGGGAACCTTACAGCCGGAGACGGATATCTGTGGGATGAGGTGAGTTGTGCATTTTTTGGGTAGACCATTTCTAACCCATACCTCCTTGCGGGAAGGCAGCATATCTGTTATGTTGGTTGTCTGAATGTGTTGGGGACGATAGATACCCAAAACTCATAGTTTGTAATTTTATCTTGTGGAGCTTGTATGCACATGTATACGTGGGCATTTCTTACCACCCATGCACATAGTCAATTGACGAACTATCGATTAAATGTTTAAAAGCTCCATGGCAATATCGCTATATATATATATATATATATATACGTTTTAAAATTGTCTTGTAAAAAGGTTCGCTGGTTTTCTGGTTGTTGCAGAATATACTTCCATTCTAGGCTTGGTCTTCTCTCTCTAAATAGCGGGGCTGGGACGCGTCAATAGTTGGCTTACTGGTCTTGGACATCGGATCTCGTTCTCGTTCGCAGAATAAGTGAACTAGTGATAGCTTCAACCCTAACAGAATGAAATAACTTAGTGCTGTCACACATCTGTACAATCAGCAATACGACTCCGCCTTCTGCTTTTAGTCTTATCGTTCTTTAACCGACCTATCTGGCATGGTAGGTGTTTGAGGAACCATTGTTTCAGCCAGTATAGCTCGATTGGTTCATTACAATAGACAATACTGACCACCACATCAATATGCCAGCAATAGTCGAACCGACTAAAGACTAATAATAAGTTGTACGATCTTATCATACATATGAATTATAGTTACCATCATCATCATCATCATCATCATCATCATCATCTTCTTCTTCTATGTTTTCTTCTTAGTTTATTCATTAATCTTACACGTGAAATACATCTGATCATCATCATCTGATGATAATGATGATGTTGATGATGATGATTAGTTTATTCCATTAATCAAACCATCAACAACAAAAAAGGTCAATCTCTCTCTATATAATACACTTACAAATTACATTTCAAATATATAATATAATCATAATAATAAAGAAAACTTACAGAGAAACTAATTGTATGCCGATGATTATTTGATGTTGTTAATGATAATAAATCTTTTCGAATACGTTTAAAACGACAACATCTCCATAATTTTGGTCCTATTCTTGGTTCACATGGAAATAAACCAGAATTTGTTAATGAATTTGTTATGAATTGTATTGATTGATTTGTGAATTGTATTGATTGAGTTATAGATGGATTTATTAAAGTTGTTGTTTCAGTTTCTGTAAATTCAATTGAATTTTCATTATTTTTAATTGGTAATCCATTTGATCGATGTGTTGTTGATGTTGGTGGTGGTGGTGGTGTTGTTGTTGTTGTTGATGGTGATGGTGGTGATGATGATGATGATGATGATGTAATATCTTTTTTTTGTATATTTAATTTATTTGTTGTTATGTATACAAATAAATCACGTACCTAAGTAATTCAAGAAAAGGTTATTTTCAGTTAGATTATCATAGAAAATACTGGACGGTCATTTCATCTTATAGTGTACATCCACGATCTTACTCGGGGAATTTACTCACTATTGACTAGCTTTGTAAGGGAATTCTTAGAGTTCTAGTGAGAAGTTGTGACTAGTGGAACTAATCTGTGTCGAATAGAGACAGGTATCTATCTCAGTACAATGGACGATAGTCGAGCAATTTTGTGGATGGGTTGAAGTTAAACATTAACACATCATTTGATGCTAGCTTAGTGATCTAGAGATTAAGCGTTCGCGCGCTAGACTGAAAGTCTCGGGTTCGAATCATGCAAGCAGGAGTCCTGTAATAGGATGAAATGGGTTTTTAATGGTGATCTAATATTGTTCGGTCATTACAAAGAATCATAATATGAACAAAGTTGAATTTTTTGGCATAAATTGTTGCCAATGATTGATTAAGTTGACGAATTCGCATTGGTAACAAAGTGTGAATTCTACTTAAAATGGAAATTATGTAGAGTGGTTGATACGATTAAAATAGAAATAGTTTCAAGTGCTTGGAATATCAATAATGGAAAACTGCAATAAATAAGTGTTAGAGGGACGTAGATCGGATTAAAACATTCTCCATACACGGTTGTGTTAGCACACGCTGATTGGTTAGGAATTAGCTAATCAGCGCTAGCCTATGCTCTAGAATCTAGAACTATAAATATACTAACGTTTTTCCTATTGTGACAGCTAAAACACCCCCAACCTTCGACCTAGAGGTCTAATTCACAAGGTAGAGGAGAAACGTTAGAAGATGCAGTCGTATGGTAGCCAGCGACCAACAATAGGTTCATTAGCCATTTGTTTCTTCAGGATCCTGGGAGCCAGCTTATGTGTACCATTGATTTGGAATCAGGGTTTTTCAACTCACCTAAGTGGACTCTCCATGTCCACCAACCCAGTGAAAGCGCCGGACATTCGCTTTTCGTCTTCTCAATTTCGTAAACAACAGTAATGCCACGAGAAGTTAGTGAACAGGACTTCCCTGGCAGTAGTTGTATGCACGTGACCATGTGAGAGCATTTGGAGAGGGAGAGTCAATTCTGTTCACTCTCGGCCGTAGCAGGGCATTTGGGAGGCATGCAGTCAATTGAACTACAAACCATCATTATTGAAAAGATGGATGTCGGCTGGCAATGGAATCCACGAGCACGTTTCATCCTATTCGAGATTCGTCAGCTGGGTGTACTTGCATCCTAGAATCCCTAAGTGAACATCCATTGTGAAATGCAGGTGAATCCATCTGATGAATCGCAAATGGAATGAAACGCGAGTCCTTGATTTCACTGCTAGGCACTATCTATCTTTGCTCATAAAACTCTAGGATTGTTTACAAATATTATTTCTTTATTACCGAAAGAAAATTTACGATCACACTTGATGAATTCATGAAATTGAAAAGCAGTATACTTTTATAACAATGACGAACAATCATTTACGGGATTATTTTGGAGTAACGGAATGTGGTTATGTCCTTTCTTTCTGTAGAAATGTTTCTATCAAATTGTATGTTCATAAACTGTTTGAAGTATATTCTAATAATAACCTTTACACATATGCGAACAAAACAACAGGTGAACGTGGCTGAAATAGGATTGTCAGTCTACTAAGACATGAAAAGCATACTGTCAAACAAGCGATTCACATGAACTCGACAAACAAATCTATACTGAGTAAAGATGAATAGTGGCTAGCAGTGGAATCCAGTTTGACGCGCGTTTCGTCCTATTTGGGACTCGTCAACTGCTAGCCCTTATTTCATCTTTGCTTATAATGCTTATAAATGAAGGCAATATCGAGGCAATACGCACAGTATGCATATATGCCAATAAAAGAATGATCAATTGCAGTGTTAAACATCAATGGGAAGATTGAAGTAGAACAATATCAAATGAAATCTATACTGATTTCCTGGTTTACATAAGAAAGAACTTTATTAATTGCTCCACTATCTTATAGATTAAACTTTGTTGTTAAGAGTTTGTAAAGTGATCCTTTAAGAAAACTATTCAGTTTGTCTTTACTCTATGGATAATATATTCCAGTGTAGATATAAATTTATATGTTCTATAGACAACTGAAGAATATCTGGAACTCAAAACAATTGGCAACCAACACTAAGGTCAGAATTTTCAATACAAATGTCAAGACAGTTCTACTGTATGGGGCGGAAACCTGAAAAATTACGAAAGCCATTATCCAGAAGATACAAGTGTTTATTAACAGTTGTCTATGCAAAATACTTCGGATCCGTTGGCCGGACACTATTAGTAACAACCTACTATGGGAGAGTACAAATCAGATCCCATTGAAGGAAGAAACCAGGAAGAAGCACTGAAAGTGGATAGGATACACATTGAGGAAAGCACTGAACTGAGTCACAAGACAAGTCCTCACATGGAATCCTCAAGGTCGAAGGAGAAGAGAAAGACCAAAGAACACATTACACCGGGAAATGGAGATAGATATGAGAAAAATGAAGAAGAATTGGATGGAACTAGAAAAGACGGCCCAGGACAGAGTAGGTTAAAGAATGGCTAGTTGGCGACTTATGCTTCATTAGGAGTAACAGACGTAAATAAATAAGTAAGTAAGTAAACCAAATTAATCATAACTTACCATTTCTAATGAAAGATAACCAGAATAAGCAACATTTTCAGCAAAATCATTTAATGTCATTGTTGGAAATCTAATTAATGGTAATATATTTGATGCAACTTGTACTCTATTAGAAATAATATCTTTTATACCTAAACGAATACATTCAGCTCCAGCCCAACGTCTAACAGCAGAAAATACTTCAGATTCTTGACAATTTAATGTATTACGACTAACTAAATCATGTAAACAATTTGAATTTAATGTTAATAAACCTTGTGATATTAATACATCTGATGCCTAAAATATAAAATAAAATAAAATAAAATAAGATTAAATGAGTTATAATAATAAGATTATAATGATTAGTACTTATACTTTTACTATCTCTGTTACTATGGAATTTAAAATCGATAATTGTATCTATGTGTGATAATGTGGTATAGTAACATGAACTCATGTACGTACGTATTATTTATTTAATTATTTCAACATATAAGTATAGGTACAGGGAGGCAACAAGTACATATGCGCCACACGAATCTCAATTGATTTGTGTGAGGGCTGTGATACTGCTCGGATGCCCAAACCGAAGCAGGTGGTTTTCTTAGGCGGCCACACCCCGAGCCTTTGACCTGAAAGTCTGATCCACAAGGCAGTGGAGCATCGTGAGGAGATGCAGTCCCATGGTAGCCAGCCGGTGACCAACGATTGGTTCATACGCCATTTGTTCCTTCAGGATACTGGAGCTAGTTCATGTTCACCATTGGTTTGGGATCCGGTTAAAGCGCCGGACATTCGCTTTTCGTCCTCTCATTTTTGTAAACAACACCCCTGTTGTGAGAAGGCAGTGAGTAGGACTTCCCTGGCAGAGGCTATATACGCGTGGCCATGTGAGAGCATTTCGAGAGGGAGAGCGGACTCTCCCCACTCTCGGCCATACCAGGGCATTTGGGGGCCATGTACGTACGTACATGCGTACGTACGAAGTTCTACGTTGTCGCTAACTGATTGATATCAAAGGTTGTGGAAAGATCGATAGTCAATTTGTTTATTTTTTGTCGATGATTGATTTCATTTCGGAAATTATTGTTAAATACTACTCATATATATGAGATACAATTCAAGACAGTTGACTATTGTTTTAGTTTCAGGGTAATGAATAAGAATTTATTGTTTCTGTTATATATTGGGACCGTCGTTTAGAGGGCAGTGATTTATCGATCAGATCAAGGATGCGTAAAACACATGCGAGCGGTCTAGAGTTCTGATTGGTCATACTTTCCGACTAGTCCAATTAGTTAAGTCCAGAACACCAATCTCAGCATCTGCAATATGAATCATTATATTTCAAGCATACTAGGTTTATATACACCAACCAGACAGATGTACAAGTTCTAGCCCAGAAGTGGCTGTGAATATGGGAAGCAGTGACTAATCGACAGGGCATAATTCAAGAATGCTAAATTGTATCATAATAGTTCATAGGTCAAAATAAAGCTTATAATAAGAGGAATATGAATATGAATTGTTTAGTTACTTAACGATTGTATAATAAAAGTATACGTATTGTATTGATCCATAAATGGATCCCACAAATTATCATTCATGATGCTTATCGGGACATAGTAGTTTCTAAATAAGGCTATCAGTTAACTGGAACTATTTTTATCTCATAGTTATCTATCTAATTTAATTCGATAACTATGTTAACTCATTGAAATGATTGACTTACAGGGGTGACAGTGAATATATGATAACTTGTATAGACTTATATATCTTAGATTATTTACGATTCACTGAATCCAACAATTGATTATTTCAATGTTTAAAATATTATCTATGTGGATAGCTCACAGGTGAACTCAAGAAAAGCTTTAAGATGTAGAAGATATTCTATCGAATCATCTTTTGGAAGACTATCCCAGAATCTCGATGTGTAGCTCTCCTATTAGACAAATGCTATCCCCCCCCCCGCTGTATGAAGATTGAATGACTATAATAATGATTTCTTTTTCACCTAAAAATTATAAATACCTGTTTGGAATCTTCTGGTCTGAAGTCAGATGTCTTATCCATTAGTCCATAAAGTTATAAGCTATATGGCTATGTAGAGCTGAAGGTCTCATATGAGACTGTAGGTTCGCCTTTGATACTGAGGATGGTTCGGCATTACTTTGGCAAGTTTTACTAACTGTTCATGCAGAAAATTAGTTTGCTAGTTAATCGATCTCATTCATACTGGTGGTTGCTTTTCAGTGTTCTCAAAGATAATTGTCATTGGGATATTGTAAGGCATGTCACCATTGCTAACATTCATGACTTTGACTGTCGTGTAAGCGGAATGGGTCAACTTTGGCCTATTCGTACTGTGCCTAATTGATCGAAATAACTAGACATGTGATGTCAATGTGTACATGAATGGTGCGAATGATCCACCAGAGTGCTTGGTACCTGTGTGGTTGCACCACAGGATTGATCCGCACTATTCAGATTGTAGCATTAAAGTTTATATGGTGTCGAGTTCGCCTGTGAAGCGGTATTGAACTGTACTGCTCGGGTTATAAAATTTAAGCCTGGGCGGTATCTGGCTCTCCTGTTGAACGGGGTTGAGCTGTACTGTCTGGGTTGTCACATGGAAGTCTGGATGGTGTCTGATTCTCCTGAAACCTGATGTCAAATTACCCTGGCTCACAAGGATATATTATATAACTAATTTATATAACCTATATACAGTAAACATCCCTGGAATTTCTTCACATAATAAACAGTTTAAAATTTAATAGTTGAATTCATAAATCAATTAAAACTAAACCACTATAAAAAACCTTGAAGTATTGGACAACCGTTTCGTCCTACTGTAAGACTCTTCATCAGCACGCATTCACAATCCCATTCAGTGGTCTAGAGGTTAAGTGTTCACGCGCAAGACTGATATATCCCGAGTTCTAATTTCTCAAGATGGAATTGTGAATGAACATCGCTGATGAATTTCATACTAGAATAAAACAGTCATGTAAAGCTTTCAGGTTATCCATCATGTTCTAACTTCAATTGGCTCATAGACTCAACTATTAAAAATGACTATAATATCCTCAAAAAACAAACAAACACCCCTTTTCTGTGTTTTTTCCAAATTTCAATAAAGTTTCTTCTTTTATTTTTCTTCTTTTTTTCTCTTTTATAAAAAAGGAATAGTAACTAAGCGCACAATAAATAATTTTTTTTCTTTATTTTCACAAAACTTCTATTCTTTATTAATCATAACGCATTGGTTTTTTAGATGTTACATAATTCTTTTCTCTTTTTTTCTCTTTTTTCTCTCTTTTTTTTTCTTTTTTATCTTTCTGATGAATCATATGCCAAAATGAAGCATGTGGTTTCTTTTTTTCTTTTGTTAATGGAACAGAAACAAATAAAAGACAAGGTTTAAAATAAATTTTTGATTGAGTTCATGTACCGATTGATGTTAGATCATAATTGAAAACTTGGAAGCACCGGATGACCGTTTCGTTCTATTGTGAGACTCTCTGGCAGTGCGCATCCATGATCCCGCTCACGGGATTAATGTTATCATTAGTTTGCTCCCAAATGCCTTGGTACAACCGAGAGTAGGGGAGGAGGAGGGAATCAACTTTCCGTTGAAAAACGCTTTCATATGGTCATTTCATTTCATTTTCATTTCAACACATAGATATTGGTGCAAGGAGGCACCAAATACATATGCGCCACACATATCTCATTTGATATGTGTGAGGGCTGTGATACTGCCCGGGTGCCCAAACCGAAGCAGGTGGTTTTCTTAGGGGGCCACACCCCGAGCCTTCGACCTGAACGTCTGACCCACAAGGCAGTGGAGCATCGTGAGGAGATGCAGTCACATGGTAGCCGGTGACCAACGATTGGTTCATACGCCATTTGTTCCTTCAGGATACTGGAGCTAATCCATGTTCACCATTGGTTTGGGATCCGGTTAAAGCGCCGGACATTCGCTTTTCGTCCTATCATTTTCGTAAACAACACCCCCGCCACGTGAAGGCAGTGAGTAGGACTTCTCTGGCAGAGGCTGTATACGCGTGGCCATGTGTGAGCATTTTGAGAGGGAGAGCGGACTCTCTCCACTCTCGGCCGTACCAGGGCATTTGGGGGCCACGTGTATATAGCCTCAGCCATGGATGTTCTACTCACTGTTTTCTCGTGACTTTACTGTTGCTTACGAAGTTGAGAGAATGAAAAGCGAATATCCGGCGCTTTAACCAGGTTGGTGAACATGGAGAGTCTATCTAGGTGAGTTGGAAAACCCTGATTCCAAACAAACGGTGTACATGGACTGGCTCCAGTATCCTGAGGGAACAAATGACGTATGAACTTGTTATTGGTCATCGACTACCATTGGACTGTATCTCCTTACGATACTTCACTACCTTGTGGATCAGACGTTTAGACTGAAAGCCCTGAATGTAGCCCCTTAAGGAACTCACCTGCTTCGGTTTGGGCATCCGAACAGTATCCCAGCCTTCACACAAATCAAATGAGATATATCTGATGCCTTCTTGTACCAGTATTTATATGTTCAAATCAAATCAAATAATCATTAGTTTTACTCTGCACATTTATTCAAGTGTACTGTAAATAGGTAATTGATGCATTTGATTTAATTCAATCGAAATCTTCAATGAGAACATCAAGACAGTTCTAATATATCAAGTTGTAACTTGAACAACTACTAAGATCATTATCAAAATAGTACAAGTAATTGTAAACAGTTGTCTACAGAAGATACTTAATATTTAATTGACCGGATAACATCAGTAACAATCTATTGTGGGAGATAACAAACCAGCTTCCAAATGAAAAGGAAATCAGGAAAAGATGTTGAAATTAAATAGGATATACATGACTGAAATTATCAAACTAGATCACGAGATTGAAGGCAAATAAAAAAAAACAAAAAAAGAGGTAGGCTAAAGAACATACTACGTCGAGAGTTGGAAGTAGACATGAAAAGAATAAATAGTAATTGGTAACAACTGAAAAACAATTGGTCAGAACAGAGTTTGACAGAGAATACTTCTAAGTGGCCTGTACACCTTCACAAGGTTTAACAGGCGTAAGGAAGTATTTAAACAGTTCAAATAATTAATATCAGTCAGTCAGTCAGTCAGTAACAACGTGGAACTTCGTACGTACGTACATCAGTTCGAGTTGCCATACCACATTAGCACAGAGATTCAGTTATCGATTCAAATCCCATAGTGGTAGAGGTACTGAAAGTATAAGTAGAGATAGGGGACATTAAG